ACCAAAATGATGCGATTCGGACTTTTTGCACCTCATGCTGACTGAATCAGGATTGATCCAGGATTGAACCAGGACTGAGACCAGGACCAGACCGGGACTGAGACTGGGACCTGGTTCAGTCCTGGTTCAGTACTGGTTCAGTACTGGTTCAGTCCTGGTTCAGTCCTGGTTTAGTTCTGGTGTAGTCCTGTTTTAGTCCCGGTCTCAGTCCTGATCAGTCTATGTGTGCACACCTCTGGGCCCATCCCGACACTCCTGGTTCACTCCTGGTTCAGTCCTGGTTCTGGGTTCAGTCCGTGTGCGGTGCAAAAGTTCGGCATCGCAGTTTAAGTCCGGAAACGGGAAACGGCCATTATCCGTTTTTTCCATTATTCATTTATACACAAAATCGAAAATTGAAAAAACGAATCGTTATAAATTTTTTTCATTTAGTTTTTGGAGACAAATAATGAAGAAAACAGTTTTTTTTTTTTCTTATTATTTTTGGTTTTATTTTGAAAAATGAATGAATGAATGATACACGGATCTAACTCAAACAAATCTCTCTCCCTCTCTCTTTTTTTGTTTGTGTTTGGCTATTGTCTGGATACTAAATTGACTCAATAAAAACAGATGTAACTTTGGTTCCAATTGGAAACTCTGCTGATGGGCTTTGTTCATAGGAGATTCATTATGACTGTACCAACAACCACCTCGTAGTCTGTCCCCCTCAGCCTTTCCTTATGAGTTCAATACAACATGTGGCAAATTAAATTATCAGGATACTGGAGGGAGCGGGCTATAGATCAGATAAGTCCTCCCCTATCACCTCACAGGGACTGCACACTGCGTAATTAGCACCATCAGAAAACAAGAGGTTATAAAGGCTGGAATAATAAAAGTCGCATTGTCCCTGTGCTCCTAATTGCAGCTGTTTTAATAAAGGTTCCTATTGACAGGACAGTGGAAGATCTACAACTGTGACGCAGATTGGGTGACGCACAGAGAGGGCTGGGCTTCTCCTGCTGCACTGCAAAAAAAAATAAAAAATCTATTAGGTAATTGCTTAGTCTGAGGTCCCTGTCTGTTGACTTAATTGATTGCAGACTAAAATTAGAAAGTTACACAAGCATACAAGCATTTAAAGATGAAGTACACAACTTTTTTCTCTTATAAATGACACACCCGGAAAGTGTATTGTAAAAGCAGAAAGTTGTGTCTTTATCTTATTAGAAAATGTTTTATTTAGTGCAAACTTGAGCTATGTTAATCACTATATGAAGCTTTGAGATGAGAGTTTGTTGGTTGTCCAAGGGTGACGGGAGGTCTGTTCACTTTTCTGTCTGAAAAAGCTGTTCTAAATCTGTGGGAGAGGCCAAATATTTCTTGCATGCGAATACTGGCGACATGAGAACTAGTGATTTAAAGACTTTACAGACTTAATTTTTCATGTTTTGACAATTAGGTACCCCAGCTTTAAACCACATGTGTATTTTAGATAGATAGATGGATAGATAGACCATACATAATACCATACATACATAACATCAGTTTTAATGTATCTTTATTACTGAAAGTGCCATTGGCTGTGGAGTGAAGCTTGCACAGAGTGACCCATGACAGTCTTTGTGTAGTCTACAGTTATAACAGAGAAAAGCTGAACAACTGGGGAAAAAACATACATATAGTGTATATGCCGAAGATATTGTGTAGACTTGTAGGGGTGGGCAGTACCAGAAAATATATATATCATGATTTACTGGAGCCAGATCACAATTTTGATTTCATCACAACTCTTACACTACATGTACGCAGCCTTTAAGATGGGGTCTCCAACCTTTTTTGCTCTAGTGAGCTACTTTTACAAAACGAAAATGGCAGAGAGTTACTAGTTTTATCAGTCACAAGAAATGTAATAAATATAACAGCCATGGTGAGCCTTAGATGAGGTAAAGTTAAATGCCTATAAAAGACAAACCATTATTCACTTATTAGAGTACAAAGTTAGGCATCAAAATGATACATGTAAAATGCTAACAGGCATATAATTTTCAAATTTGGTAACACCCGGGTAACACAAAAATATAATTAAGCATTTTACTATTAACTATCTATTAATATGTGGTCCCTAATCTAAAGTGTCACCTCAAATTTTACTTATTCAATACAATAGATGTAATTCAGAAATCCCTTGGCGAGCTACTAGGAATGGGGTGGAGAGCTACTGGTAGCTCCCCAGCTACAGGTTGGAGACCCCTGCTTTAAGATGTAACTAGAAATATCTGCTTCTTCAGTTCACATTTCATTGTAATTGGGTAAATCCACCTGTCACTCACTCAGGCCATGAAAGGACAGTGTCTGTGTTTGACCACTGGGCTGCAATAAACGGATCATTGTTCAATCATGAGTCGTGACAATTGGACTAAAGTAGCAGACTGCCACAGGGATGAGGTCATGATTTGGTTTATATCACCACATTGCCCAGACTATCCTTCAATTTAGGAAAAAAAAAGTATAAGAAGTAGGGGCTAGACTTGTGTAATATCCATTTGTATGAGCTGTGTTTAGCTGCCACACAGTTCCTGCTTTAAATAGCCCAAGACTTTATCTGGTGGAAAGAAGATAAGCTTTTTTTCATTGTTGATGCTGCTTTTAAAAATCCCTGTCATGCTGCTATATTTGTCACTGCAGAGACTGTGCTGTCGATTTGGCCGCAGAGGTTCATTTGTCCAGCCAATAGGGAACAACAATGACGTTATATTAAACAGACGGTAATGGAACGGGGAGTGTGTAAAGTGTGAAAATAAGAAGCACAAGTCCAGTTCCTCACATTCACCCTCACTTTATTCATCCACAGTGGAAATTAGGTGGACATGATACATATAATAAAGAGAAAAAATGTAAATGGAAATAATACATTCTAAATAAGTGACAATAATCACATAATTATATAAATGTTTATGTACAAGCAAAAATAAAATAAAATATAGGAATAAAGTAATGAAAATATACCTCAGCTATATGCAAAAGGTCAAATAAGGATAACAAGTCTATTCATTTCTGTTCTTATCTGTCTAGACGCATGTCTCAAGATGTTTTCCTTGAAATGTCTCAATATTTATATCATAGAATGCAAGCTTATGATAAATAAAAGCAACCTTGAATAAGAAGTAAGATATATTTAATGCCATACTGTGGGACAGTCCAGTCAAAGCAATAACATTTCCATGAGACAGCGGACACTCCACCAGAAAGAAAGTCAAGTCAAATTATTTGTATAGCACATTTGAAAACTTCTTCAAAATTTTAGTCAGTTACTATTTGTCAAATAGAAGTAAAAAGTAGTAGTTGAAGAAAAGTAATCAAGTCATTTTACTTCATGTCATATACTTATTGTGGGGAAGTGAGTAGTGTCTGAAAAATTACTCTGAATGCTCTACAATTTTATCAAAACAGTAAATGAAGCAGGCTAAATGTATAGGCCTAGCAGATGAAGATGTGAGAGAGAGATTATTGATCCCTTGGGAAATTCAAGTTTTGCTGCAACACCATTAACGCTGGGCGTCTCAGTGGCCTTTGTGCCTCAATCAAAGGTCTCAGGTCAGTTTAACAGGAGGACTGGTCGGGGAGGGTCAGCAGATCTGTGACAGGGCAGATTGAGGAGAGGAAGAGCTAAATGTGTCCCTCCTCTGTGTCCTGCAGCATCACAGCAGCCTCCAGAGGGCGCCAGGTGAACACAACAGCAAAGGCCTCATTCTTACTTCACTCTGGTGTTTTGATTGGTGAAGAAATGGTTCATTCCCTCAAAGTGTTTCTTCTGGAAGGTCTTCTGCCACATTTGCTGCTACAGATGGTGTAAAAAACCCTGTAGCATGTCCATAGCTGGCTCCTTGCCTCTTGTGCAATCTCCATGAATATGGGAAAAACTAACAACTAAACAACTCACAGTATGCATGTCATTTGAACTGCACATGCTGCACTTTTTAGTAGGTTAATATCACATGTTATGATGTTAAAAAATTCATCAAAAAGTGCTCAGGGTTTGAGCAAAGTAGCCACAAATGCAGCCAACCATGTAAGTAAAGAAGCATTTTTTAAACATTTTTAATCATCTTGGTTGCACATCTTAGTTAATTTCACACAATACAACAGTCCCTTGTGCTCATTAGCTCTAAGTATTTCCTCTGGAAGGTCTTCTGACACATTTGCTGCCACAGTTGGTGTAAAAAAAACAAACAAACCTGTAGCATCGCAAATGTCCATTGCTACCTCCTTAGCTCACTCTTAGTTATCCTCTTGCACAATCTCAATGAATACAGAAAAAATAAACAATAAACAACAAACAAACAACAACCTATGCTAACAACTAACATTACTTGTGTCCTTTGAATTACACATGCTGCACTTGGTTAAAATCACACGTTCTAATGTTAAAAACTGAGCTTTAAAAAAAAAAAAAGAAAAGAAAAAGAAAAAAAATTGATCAGGGTGTAAGACAGGTAACCACAAAAGCAGCCAATCATGTAGGTAATGACGCTTTTTAAAACATTGTTAATTATCTTGGTTGCACATAAATGCTTGCTTTTATGTCTAGATTAGGCTGTAATTATTATGCTCATTTTCAGTCAGGGTGGCGTCTAATTGACAGGTGCACATTTTTACAGTGCCCCCTCCCTCTTCATATTTACGGTCTGTGGTGGGTGGGCCGTGGGGTGGGCAGGTCCTAATGCTGATCTCTGTATTACTGACGGCGGGGATGCAGCGGCTCACTCACAAGGGGCGAGCCGAGCCTCCCTCATTATCACCCGGCTATAATAACTCACACTGACCCGCTTACAAGGCGTCCATTCCGCACATCCGACCGACAGCGGAGATTTGCCCATCCTTTCCCCGCCCACAGCGACCCGAGAGCGGCTGCGGGAGGAGAGAGAGCCGCCTCCTCAGCACCACCGGAGCTGTCCACTATTTCAGCAGAAAACAGTGTTCAAAGGCGGACAGGGGATTTCTACACCCTCTTGTCTCCAGGATGGCGGTCAAATACGCAGTTTTGTTCGTATTTTTTCAGCTTTTTGCGTTGAATGTAGTGATGCAGACTTTTGCCTTTCCAACACCAGCGTCCACAGAGGGTGAGTGAACAAACCACATTTTATAAAGCGATCTTCTTAAAACTTACACATGTGGGCGAACTCCGTTGAAATAGCCTTTGTATGCACTCAAAACATATAAAGGTTGAATTTAGTTTTAATTTCATCATATTATGTTCAATGAATCAAGGGTAGCTACAATGAGCCATGCGCTTTTACAAATAATGCTACTGAACAAGTAAGCTAGCTTCGCAAAAAACTTACATTTATGAGATCGCTGCTAAAACTCGATCCAAATCACATTAAAATAATACTTATAATTCTTTGCAGCACGTATACAAACATTTATTTTTAGGAATTATGCTTAGATTTGTTATGTTTGTTGTAATAATATGCCGTCAATCGATGGTAAGGCTTGATTTTGTTCCTGAATCTTCACCATTGATCCCTAGCATATGTTCTTTTTTCTTTCTCTTTTTTTTGTTCTCCTGTTTCTACATTTATTCACAATCAATCCGTACTCATTTGGACTTGCGTTTTCTGGTTATAAATGGTCGAGAAAACAAAACAAAAAGTGTCAAAGTTGGTTCGCAGGTCAGCGGTGTCTGGCGGGTTTCCACGCCGTCTGTCTGGTCCCATGGTTCGGCCTGTGGTCTATTTTAGCCCCGGTATAATCTTGTGTTAATCCGATTTAGCTTTGCCTTTGCGGTGTGGTTAGTGAGAGAGAGGAGTATCAAATCTAACCAACAACATGACAGTTTAATAACAAAGAACATTACTTATACTTTCTGTAGCTTGTTAATGACTAAAATTGTCCATTATATGAATCAAAACATGTTTATTAGTAGAAAGTTAATATTTTGTTGTATTCTTCTTATTATTTTTTTCATGATTTATTTATTTACTATTTTTATTGTATGTATTATTATGTATTTATTTATTTATTATTAAACCTGCATGTATCCATTGAGGTGCTATTGCGTTGCCTAGAATGTTCCAGAGTATGGCATTACATACTGTGATGAGGCAAGTACGTCAACAGTAGGGCTGGGTATCATTAAGAAGTCGCAGATACGATACATACCTCGATACATAGGCCACTATACAATACATATCTTGATACAGTGAGCTTTCGATTGGATATGATTCGATATGGTATATTTCAAATCGATTCAGTGTGGTTCAATAAAACTAGTGGCTAAATCACGTCTGTGATACTAAAAGTCTTTGTTAAACGCAAAGTGAATATGAAACACACCCATTTTAATCATCAAAACTGTGAAAATGTCAAATGTGTCACATAAACAAGTTTCCTTCTGCTGAACAAGCAACAAAACCGTAGTGCTGTAACAAAATAATTTAGTAAAATATACCAAAAAATACTCTTGGCAATATATTGACACAGCAGCCCACGATTTCAATACTGTATCATCACATTAAACGATACGACATATATCGATAATTCAATATTTTTGCACACCCCTAATCAACAGTAAGACTGCATGTTTTTCTGATGTATCTTTGAGCAATTCAATCCAAACACCTGTAATGAAAGAAATCCAAGATCAATTTAGTGCCATTCAAGCCAAAACAAAAGCAGGTGGCATGTTACATAGTGCACCACACTTTCCTCTTCTAGATCATTCCTTTTAATTATAAACTCTTTGTGTTGCAGACAAAACAGTGTACAACCGTCAGCTGACAGAAGAAAAGCCTCTAATAGATCAGGTGCGTAAGTTTATCAATCTCAGTTTAATTTCCTGTTCAATTTCCTTTACTAGAACTTGTCAAACATGGTACATAGATACTGGACCAAACAATGTTAATCTGATCCTATCTTGCAAGTGGAAATGATTTGTTTAATCTGTCATGTTGCCAGATTGCTGAAGCAGATAGTGTGAAAGCTACAGTCCTGTCAGCCGGTAAGTGGAAACCGCATTGGCAATCAATTAATGACTATATTTCCTTTTGCTGAGTGTCTTCATATTGCAACATTTACAGTAAGAGCCTCGTTATCATCTTATTTTTAACATTTTGTCTGAGTAATCATGTTGTTTCCATACAGAGGGCAAACATCCGGCTGCCTCCAAGGACACAGCGCAGGACAGTGATGACTTCAGTGCTCTCAAGTCGTTGGCTGAGAGCCAGAAATCCAAGATGGAGTCCGGAGATGTGCCAGACCAGAGCAGCCAAAAGAGCGACCAGTTCGTGCCCGATGAGTCAGACTCTACCAAGAGCCGGCGATTGGCAGAGGACTACGACTCGACCAAGAATGGAATGGGCGATGGCAAGTACCAGGGTAAGAACTTACTGTATGTTTGACAACCACTCCATGAAAAATCTAATTGGAGTATTCAAACTGTGGGTTGAACGATTTGGGAAAAATATCTAATAGGATTCTCAAAGTTGACTCTTTAAATCAGGGGTGGGTAATTCTTTTTTTATATATAAAAAACAGTAAATATCATTGTTTTGACAAGCTGGTAAGACAAGAGTTTATGTTATGACTAAGCAATGAAAAAGTGAGGCAGCTTTACGCAAAATGTCATAAAAAAAACACCTCTAAAATCAAAGCAATGCAGCTTTAGTCCATGCCCGGGGTAAAACTATAAAATATATCTGTATTTGTGATTGTAAATGACCTTGAAGGGGCTGGTCAGAGTTGACCAAAGGGCCGTATGTGGCCCCGTAGCTGCCCAGGTCTGATTTAAATGCATCCAAAAGAATTGACAAAAAACGTTGAATCGAGCTGATAAAGTACTAAAGTATCACATTTTAGAACATGTTTGTAAACTACTGGGTTAGCATTTTATATGCAAAATTGACTGTGGATGAAATTGCGGTACTTAAAAAATTGCAGCCTTTACCATTTACTAATTTGCCCATTTAAATTAGGATTTTAAGTCAGTTGTGATTAATCCAGCTGCCATAGTTCTTACATGTCATATATAATAAAATATTAAACAATATTCAAGTTCAACCTAAGTAGACCCCTGTGTACAGATTTTAATGCTCTAATAAAGGGTTTCATTTCACTCAATCATCTACTGCGATATAATATAACAGGGTTGTAGGAATCCATTGCGCCATGATAAATCTTTGTACAAATGTCATGGTCTCAAATATAGTAATCTAGGGATTTAGGCTGTAAACCTGTCTTGCCGTTGGGGCAAGGCAGAATTGTAAACAAAAACAAGTCATTATTTTTGCTCCTTGTACACCATTTTGGATTTGATTTAAATTCCTTCTTATTTAAAACAAATATTCAGTTAGTTTAGTTTAGTTTAGCCGTGATTTCTCCAATGTCTGAACTCCACTCCATCCAACACCACAGGATCTCGTGTCAGTTAAGACTTGATACATTTACATCTAATGATAGATTCATTGTTGTTTGGTGAACCTGCTGTTTCGTGACTCCCCTGGAGACAATATTGACACAAACATTTCATGCCATATTGCACCGCCCTCCTGTCTTGCTGCTCTAACAGGCCTCATGCTGTGAGCTGGTAATAGGTTTGTTTCATGTTAAATTGGACAGTGCTGTGGTGAGGTGAGGTGAGGTGGTGTTATCTGAACTGTGCCTGAACATGCCGCATGTGTCACAGCAGAAAGTGACTCAAAGGGCCCATATGACAGACTCAGACTCATTTCACTAAAACATCATTAACATCATTATATTTACCATACCTATGTATTTGGATTATTTTGTAATTTCAGTGAAGTTTTATCCATTTTACTTCCTGGTTGAACATGGGCAGCAGATTTACACATGTAGTAGGTAATTTCATGACTGTTATCTCTTCCATTTACCATTAAAAAGGGCCATAGGGTCTAATTTAAACAATAATTACCAATAAATGACAACACTTTTATTTGTAAATCAATGTTTAATTTAGAAAATGCCTTCCTTGTGCATAAATTGTCCCTGCGTTTTGGATGGAACTTTTTGGTGCTTATGACAAAGTAATAAATTGTAAAATTGTAGAATTCAGCGCTACTTCCTGTATTTAACTGACATAAAACTATGATATATATTTAACAAAAGTACTGTCCCAAGTCATAAAAGAAAAGCATGAAAACCTGCCATGTGCATGGACGGCGCTGCCATGGAAACACGTGTTAGCGACAGGATCACGGCGAGGCAGGGAGACAGAGATCACACGTGAGAGATTAACCCATGTGCCCCGAGTTAACGATAACACTAGTCTTCATACGGTCATCAAACCGCACTGAAGAAATCCTTTAGTGCACTAAAGGTGCACTGTGTAACTTTTCTGGTGGAGGGTCTGTCACCTTCCTGTCTCATGGATATATTATTGCTTTGCTTGGAATGTTCCACAGTATAGTGTTAAACTTATTTACCGTGCGTTTATTCAATTACAGGTTTTTATTGCGAGAGATAACTTTAAAAAAACAAGAATTCTTACAATCAGGGTAGCCACGGGGTCTTAAAAGTCTTAAAAAGGTCTTAAATTTTATGTTCCTAAATTAAGGCCTTAAAAAGTCTTAAAGTATGTTGCCAAAGTCTTATTTTTACACAAAGGTCTTAATTTTCATTAGCCTATTTTTTGTAAACTCAACAGGGCTGCAGTGCGATGTTAAATGGACGGAAAAAAAAAAACACCCAGTTTGGAGTATCAGCAAACAATTTTTAGTTTTTTCTTGTTAGAATATTATAAATGATTTTTTTTGGCCATTTTACAAGCAATACATACTACTAAAAATGAATTCTGAATGAGATTTTATAATGAAAGTAATTTTTGTTATTTAAAGTAATGAGTCATTATTAGAATTGGATCTGGTGTTTTTCGCTCGCATAATGGGTGCGATGTTGTCTTAATTTTCATTTAAGTGGTCTTAAAAAGGTCTTAAAAAGTGTTAAATTTGTAGTAGTCAAACCTGGGGATACCATGACAATGAACAGGGTCACCTCGTCACAGATCTGACTTGTAACTTGGCCTGGAGTCATCACTTCATGTTTCCGTTTAGATTAACTTTATTTTATACCGTGGAATATTCCAGGTAAAGCAACAAAAACATCTCTATGGAGACAAAAAGGTGGCAGAACCTCTATCAGAAATGTTATATGGTGAACCTTTGTATATACTTTTTTTTATAGATTTGTGGAGAATAAAAAATATAAGGACATTTAGTACAATACTGAAAAAAAACTCTATTTTAGGAAATAATCATAGATGCAACTTCCATGAATGAAAGTCTGAGTTTCTTTACAATTGTACGACAGAATTCAATTGAAACATCTCGTCACCATAGCTGAGGCTCCATGTACTGTATAGATTTAACACTGATAGTAACACAAGACAGTTCAAGGAAAGGTCTATGCTTTCTTTAAGAGCCTCAGGTTTCCGTATTCTTCTTACATTCGTGTGTTTTTTATCCTTGTCCGGTGAATATCCTTTAGAAACGCTGCAGTCTTCAGCTTGGCTCTCTGGCCTTGACTCAAATAACCGTTTCTTTGTGTGTTCATAATAAGTGTAAAATGTGTTTGATTCAGACGGAAGTCGAGCCTCAAAAAGCAACAGGAACAACAACAGAGAAATCACATAGCGTCTACGTAATTTAATCATAATAAAGGTCAGTCTTATGTGGTGCGGCGTCTGCTTCCTGCCTATCACCATGTAGACTATTACTTTGTTTCGAATGCTCCAGAGTATGGCTTTAATCATACCTGTTATTTATTTGATCAGTGTTTTTATTGCTTAAAAAGTCCTTCAAAAACCATTCCTTCTTACTGTGAGCGGGGTTGCCTGTCTACAGATCTTACCTGTAACTTGGCCTGGTGGTTTCACATGCCTCCATGGAGCAGGGTTCCCACGGTCATTAAATTTTGTAAATTCATTGAAAATTTTGGAAAAGTCATGGAATTTTAGTACCTCTTTCACACAACTACAGCGTTCTGTTAAGTTATCATTAGGTTATTATGATTATTTCCGAACGTATGCGCCTTTTGTTTAAAAGAGGTGACAGTAAATGCACTGACAGTATTTGAATGCTAAAAAAATATAAAACAAAACCATAATGTCAGTGGAAAGGGTTAATATTTCATATTTAGCCCCCAAAGTATGATCAACTCTACACATGTAGGGTGCCATAAAGTCATGTAAAATTCACTTTAGGTCATGAAAAAGTCATGGAAAAGTTTTGAAATTTCAGTGAAAAAGAGTGGGAGCCCTGATGGAGGTAAATATGTTAAATGCCATTCTGTAGAACATTTCAGATACAACAGTAACATCTCCATGGAGACAAGCGGACGGTGTACCCTCCACCAGAAAGGTTACGTAGTGCACTGTTAAATTATGTTGCATAAATGAACCAGCACAAATTGCAAAACATCTACTGCTCTACTGCATTCTCAGTAATTTGATTTCAATATCCACCTTTAACTTGAGCTGACTGAAACAGAGACATTGAAATAAAAATCATATTATTTTTGTAATATTTAAATAAGTTATGTGAAAAATGTAACAGGAGCGTTATGAAAAACATTGCTTACAAAGTTTGTCAGTGTTTTGACCTTGTGTGATGCTTGTTCCGGTATCTTCTTCTCTATGCACAGCCATTTTATACCTGATTCTTCCTGTGACCCGAGTTAACTGAAACACAAAGCTCAGAATAGAGCTTTTCATTGATCCAAATTTGGCAATGACAAACGGATCCGGTTACTCCACTTCTAAAAACAGCCGAACAGAGTGGACTTTATTTTCTCACATTCACTGAAATAGTTGCACTGTACAAATCTGTGGATGATTCATTGAAGACATTTTCTGAATTCCTATTTTAACTGTGTCAACAACCTTTAGAAATGAGAACTGTTATGTAAGAGGCAATCTGGAACACTTGTATTGTTGTGCTGCGTATGGGATTCTCTTGCTGTGCTAAAAGGTTAGAACAAGACTGCTGCTTAAAAATCCACTGCGAAAGTTCAGTTCTCAAAGTTTAATTTAGTCGTGGTTAGTGTTGCCACGACACTAACTATTCAGACATGATTGCGATACTAAGGAATAGATTTGATACAGATTCTGATACCACGATGGTGTTAAAAAAGCAATGTGATTTTCAACATTAAATAATAGTACTTTCTTTTATAGTACCATGTAGCCTTATAGCTGTGTAATCCTTCAGTCGTCCAGGTAGGTTCCATAGTGGTCCATGGGAGTATACTTGTCTGTGTGCTCTTATACTTGTTCAGATACAGCTCAAAATGCTAAAAAATGTATTGCTGAAAAAGTAAATAAATACCTAAATAATGATTATAGAATTATATTTAGGTCAGGGATTTTATTTTTACCTTTATTATATACGATACATTATGTATTTGAAATTGTCCAAACTAGGACATGGCAAAGGAGAAATACAGTTTGTTTACTGGACAAAATGTATTTGGTCGAATACGTTTCGCTGCTCATCCAAGCTGCTTCTTCAGTTCTGGTGAGATGCTGATGGACACCTCCTTATGTCTGTCTGCAGGGAGGAGCTAACTAACTACTTTGAACCTTTTGTTAGCTAGGCCTATGAACTGCACAGAGTGTGAAGTCTTTTGTGATCTGGCTACATCAGGTCCAGAGGTTTGAAAACACCCATTATGGCCCTGAATGGTTATGCTAATAAGACCCCACACTCTGTGCAGTTCAATAGACCTAACTAACTAACAGAAACTGTAAACAAGTAGGTGTGTTAGTTTCAGAGTAGTTTCAGTGTAGTTAGTTCCTCCCTTCAGACAAATATAAGGAAGTGTCCACCAGCGACCAGAACTGAAGAAGCAGCTTGGATGAGCTGCGAAATGTATTCGACCAAATAAACTTTTGTCCAGGTAACAAACTGAATTTCTCCTTTGCCATGGATTCTACCTGGATGACTGAGGGATTTTACACGCGTCCAGTCTAGGAGTCAATCACTGAGTAAAGCATCTGCTGTGCAACCTAACCCTTAAGTCATTGCACAGATATTAAAGGTGCATTGTGTAACTTTTCTGGTGGAGGGTCCGTCAAATGCTTTTCTCCTTAAGATGTTTTTGCTCGAATGTTTCACAGTATGGTTTTAATTTCTATTCATTTCTATTTTCATGGAGACCAAACCAGGCCAAGTTACAGGTCAGATCTGTATAGAGGCAACCACACAGTCAGAATGCCTGTTTTTCTAGGTATTTGTGAGCTATAAACCCACTGAATAAATGTAAGGTACAGCTGTTTAATGTCATACTGTGGAACATTCCAGGCAGAGCAATGACATATCCCTAGAAACAACCAGGTTAAAATAATAGCTATCTCTGTTACTTTCCACAACTGCGGGATAATGTATACAATGTTTTTATTCATATATTTTTTTTACATTTTCCAGCAGATGGCCCAGAGAGTTTTCGTCAGGTGGATGGTACTCCTCTGACGGCTGAAGACATCGTGCAGAAAATTGCTAACAAAATCTATGAAGAAGACGACAGAGGCGTGTTCGACCGAATCGTATCCCGCCTGCTCAAACTGGGGCTGGTGAGTGCACTGTTCCAAAATAGAATAATTTACTTGTCAAAATGCAGATGTTTTATGCTAATTTATTGTTAGTATCTCTGTAATTACTGCGTACATCTACACTGAAACAAAACTGGTTCCAAGAGTAATGTGTTTTCTGTCAGTAGCAATAAAATTAACAAAGACTGCCCCATGTCCTCCATCTGAAGTTATAATCCAGTGAACAACATGCTACACTTTTTGAGGCAATTGTGAATAAATACTTTTATAAATATTAAAAACAGTGAAGACTTCAAGCTTCATATGTGCCAGTTTTTATTTCATGTGTATCGTTATAGGTAAATTACACCAGAATTCTGCGTTCCTTCTCAGAACGTTATGACGTCGCATGAACCCACCCCTTTGGCACCAGAGGGGGCGCTGTGGGTGGCATGACATTTTAACAGCACGATCTCCTTCTGGGCACGCTCTGAGCCACTCACAATGTGTGAACTGTGATTTGTTCTAATAAAACAAAAAAACTGAGCTGCAAATGACTTTTTTACCACTCAATAAGTGATTTCCCAGTGTCTGAGTGGTTTAGACTGACAGCACCAGAGGGGGACTTTCTGTGTGTCACTGCATGATGTAAGATTCAGATTCAGATGGCATTTTAATTGTCTAAAGACTGTTTAGTGTTTGACATATTACTCTTACTTACTTTTTTTTTAAACTATTGAACAAACACAATAGATCATTATTTTACTTCATAGATTTTCAGATTTTCACTTCAGATTAAGATTTTTCATGTGTTTTTATTATTGAAAATGGTTTTCTTGTGACATTGTTGAATCCTGCATGTATGACCAAGAAGTTTTGAATAATTGGATGTAAATACAGAGTTGTGGGTGGAGAAAGGGTGTAGATGATAACCTTCAGAGCATAATTGTAACCATTATATATGCTAATTAAATATAAAACATTCATAAATGTCAATAAAACATAAATTTGTTTAAATCAAAATAAATGAGAAATAAGTGAAATATGAGCAGGGAAATTGGCTATTATAATATGTAGATTTTATGTTCTGGTTGGATAAATATGTTCCAGGATAATGAACATTGTTAAAATAAATGGTTCAATATTTAAAACAGCACAAACATAACATAACTTAACATAACATGGTAAATTCTTATGAAATAAAGATATAATAATAGGTGTGCATTAAGGACAGGATACTAGCTCTTTACCCATTTGAAAGACTTACATCTTCACATTTTATAATCTGAAAATGACTTGGCCAGTGGTCTGAGCTCTGTTTTGTTTTTCTCTCAACAATAATGAGTTTATTCAGATTTTTGATAAATGGTAAATTGCCTTATGCCCCAACAGTCATGAACAGATCCATAAAAGCAATTTTTTAAATGTTTTTAATCTCAAATATAGTCCACAAAAATCAATAACTGTCATTTCTCTTGTTTTGTTCAGATCACCGATAGCGAGGCGGACTCTCTGGAATACCAGGTTGCCGAAGCCCTGCAGGAACTCATCACTAAAAACGCCCTGAAAAACGAAGTGGACGAAAGAGCCGAAACAGAGGAGAGTGACGAGCTGAGAGGAGAGCAAGAAGAGAGGGATGCAGATGAACACACGGTACACACATACACACACTCTACACACACATGCGCTACACCCAGTTTAGGCCTGATATAGATTTAGTTTGGTCCTAGGGTTGTCAAAAGTATCAAATATCATATGCTAATCAATACTAAAACTATTATGGAAACTAGATACTATTGAAACATATATTAGATATTGATACAGAAAAAGAAAATAACTGGATAACCTCCCCTGAACAGTTTTATCAGAGCTAGTGTACCACATGTTATATAATACACAAATACTATATCTTTTGTTGAAAATTGTCCATAAAATCTATAAATTGTCCACCAGCATCTGACCAGAACTTAAGAAGCAGCTTGGATGAGCTGCGAAACATATTTGACCAAATAAACTTTTGTCCAGTTGACAAATTTAACTTCTCCTTTTGCCGTGTCTATAAATGATGATAAATGATGAATCTTTTGGGTATTAAAATCAGTACTGAGGATTGAGTGTAGTTTTTGATATTGGAATTTGAAATTGTAGTATTATGGCAACACTATTTGGTCGTAATGTTATCCTGCTGTAGTCCAGGTTTAATTCGAGTGTTAAATCCAGGTCTATAACCAGATGTTTCCAGGTTTAATCTAGGGCTAAACCAGATCTAAAAGGGGACTACATCATTCTCACTGTAGTTCTTAACAAGAAATTATCCAAATGAGGACAAAAAATAGGATAAAATCAAATTAGGCAAACCCACAAACTGAAGAGCTGTCCAAGGACCACCTGAAGCTGTGCAAGTATTATAGCATTACTAACTTCTATCTGATAAACTAGCTCAATATCAGTGGCATTAATCATTCCTCGGTGGTCCACAGTGGGACACCGCTCCAGTGGATCCCTCTAACGACGATGAAGAGGAGGAAGGAGACGAGGGCACAGAGGAGGAGAGAAACATGGAGGACAGAGAGGGCGCTGACAGAGGAGACATGACCGGAGATGAGCGATGGGATGGAGACTCTCAGAACGAGGTCAGCCCCAACGACGGACTCCAGAACCTGCAGTACTTCCCCAACTTCTACCGCCTGCTCCGGAGCCTCGATTCAGGTAATATATGATAATAGGCCTCCAGAAGTATCGGAAATCAGATACTAATCCATACTAAAACTAATTTTTAATGTTGGACACTACATTCTATTGGGTAAATAAAGATTGTATCGGTATTGAGTATTGAGTCTATTCCTTAGTATCGAAATCAAGTTTGAAATTTTTGTATTATAGGCTTGTGATGTTAAAAAATTTAGATTAAAGTTAATATATTACTAAGAAACTACTATAGTAAGAAAATATAGATTTGTGCTCCTCATCTTAAACATTATTGTTGCATTATAATTCCTATCACGAGAATCACTCATGGCCTCATTATAAACTGACACAGGCAGATATTGACTATGCGAGTGGATAATACAGTCACAATTGAGAAACCTGCCCAACTGTCACCCTGATCCCATTTTCATAACACATTTTTCCAGCACACCTGCGGCTCTCTATATTGACAATGTATGTTTTCCCTCTCCTCATTAAGACGTATAGAATAAAGCACAAACACGGTCAAATCAAATTATTCATAATCATGTCATTATAACCCCATTGTGTCTCTCCATGTGGTGCCTTTAGACTCCATAGAAACCAATTAACAACACAAGCTCTGTTAAACACATGGGAGATAGTTAGAAAATGTGTAGTGTCACAATTGTTGTTGTAGGGATGAGAAAAATGTGAATATTGAGTATTATCAAGTCTATAATATTTATCAAAAATAGCTGAAAAAAAAAAGTATATATAATGTAGCACAACATTTACAGGCACAGTGTAACTTGTTGTAACTTGAGGCTCTTGTTAAATGTGTCTATCTCCATGGAAACACAGCTTTTCCTGCCACCAGGCGTAGTTACAGATTAGATCAGTGAGAGGCGAGCCTGGACATAGTTAGAATGCATGTTTTTGCCCTGTGCTTTTTAGCAACCAGAACACCTGTAATGGAATAAATTAAATAATATCAGGTAAGACATCTCTGTGGAGAGAAGCAGCTGGCATACTTCGCAAAAAAGTTACATAGTGTACAATTAAGCACATTTCTTATTAGAGATGCCACAATAACCAAAATATTGTGATATCGTATTGTCAAAAGTCTCACTATAATATCGTGGGCTGTCACAATATATCGAATTACAAGTTTCTTTGCTTAAATGCATGGTTTTATAGTAGCAACAGTTTATATACATAGGGAACTACATATCCCATGATTCATTTCAGTGCAAACAAGATAATTTCTTGGGATTATGACAGAAATAATTAACACCAAAATCTTGTCAAGATATTTTTAAAGCAAAAAAGTATCTCATCTACAATTACATTAGCCTCTTCAAAATAATAATATCGCAATAAATATCGTACCGTGAGATGTACATCCTGAAAATATCAGATTTGACCCTATTTCTTTTGCAATACCATAATACTGTTGGAACACTGGGATTATAAAAAGTATCACACTTATAATAATTGTCAATAATCCATGGGTTTCAGGATGATAAATCATTAGGACCATAGCGATGAACAATTTAAAACAAAATATTGCATCTTTTGTGTTCTGTTTGTGTTGTGAGCAGAGAGGGACACGCAGGAGAGAGAGACCCTGATCACTATAATGAAGACTCTGATCGACTTTGTGAAGATGATGGTGAAATACGGCACCATCACGCCCGAGGAGGGAGTGTCCTATCTGGGTAAGACTTAAGTATACAAAATGTACAAAACAAAAAACATGACCCTTAGTTTTTTGCAGAATGTATTGTCCCCAAAGAGCCCTGGGAGTCTAAGAAATGTTCCCCTGATTAATGAAAGATACATGATACAATTTAAAGTTGATATAAACAGAGCTGGATCTTTCCCTGTTCTCTTGTCAGTGCATATGTTCCAGTCTAGTGGATATCTTTGTGCCACAGGCGTTTTGAGGGCAGTGTACACACAGATAAAGATCAGGCCAGGCACTGGTTTCGATCACCTGCAAAGGACAGCTGTCAACTCAGATCGTGTTTATGTTTGACAGGGTCTTATTCTTAGAAGGATGTTATCAAGTGTGGTGTTGCTTTTAGATATTTTTCGTAAATCATGCTGAAAAAAAATCTTTACAGATGTAAATTAACCGCCAATTATGGAGTCATCACTATTATTGATTTCCTATGATAACAGCTTCCCCATATAATTTATTAGCGGTAGTTTCTGCTCATTAACTGGAGGAACATGATCGGCGACCTGCTCTCTGTCAGTAAAGATGAATAAATCAATACTCCTTTAAATGACCTGTGTTCCATGATCCTTTGTACTCCAGGAAACAAAACTAATGACTACCCATATAAGGCGACGCTGTAATTTTAGATCCTGCATCTCCCTGGTGACCTTCTGCTCTGTGTGGCACGGAGATAAATAGATGGAGCTGAATGAGAATTCACGTTCTCAAAAAAAAAAAAATAATAAAACTAAAATTTAATCCAAGATGTGGGCAATGATTGAACAAACAATCCAATCCAATATTACCTTTAATATCGCTACCATAGATTGTGTCAGTTCAATTATTGGAGCCCTGCATTTTATCTGAATCTATTTTTGATTTTATTTCCATTATCATTTTTGTCTTAAGTAAGTATTTTTGCAATTTGTGACATTGCCGCCAACAGGATAACCTCCCCTGAACAATTTATTTATTAAAAGCTTTTCCTTTTAATAAATATTTATTTTAAAGTCCTTGAATAATAATTAATACCAGTACATTTTAATGAATTGATTTAAGCAGTTTCTATCTCTTTAAGATGATCAGGACCTCACCACGTATCGTAGAGGACACGTTTTCCTGGTGACCTTTCGTTCTGTGTTGTTGTGTGCGATAAGGAGACGGGATATCGCCTGGCAACATGCTAATGCTGGTGCTTCTCCTCTTTTGCCCCATCCGCCCCCTCTGCTGCCAAGATGAGTCACTCAGACCTGTCAGTCAGAGATAATCGACCTTCTAGATAGAGGCTATGCTAGGGAGAAGAAAGAGATGAGAGAAAAGGGAGCGAGACAGAGAGAGAAAGAGAGAAAGATGGGATAGCACCCTTTAATGAGAGGACTCTTAGCTGCAGGTGGGATGGAGCAAGAGATAAAGAGAAGGTAAGGTAATAGTGGAAGTGTAAAATTGTAAATCTTAGAGAGAGGGTTTTTGAAAATTGCAGGATTGCTGTTGTGATTTTAAGATGAAGAAAGAAAGTATTGACAAAAAAGAATACAGCAATGTTTTTTTGGAGGATCCCACTAACAGTATTTAGATATGACATCAATCCACTGAAAAATGTGTCTTTAACTTTGATGCTTAAGTGCCAGAATAATGTGAAATGGCTGCAAAATTGTTATCAGAATAAATAGGGACATACTGTTTATCGTAACAGTGATTCCCATTATTACGGGAGACAATTGTGGCCCCCATAGTCTAAAACAACCTGGACTATACTACTCATTGTATTAACCTTAACTTTTAAAAGAGACTACGCTGGTCAAACTAGATTAAATATAGGCAGAAAATTATATCTATATTCCTGTATGTAGTCATTGGGTTGCAGAAATTTAATAATGTAGTTAATTAATGTACTTATTTAAAAGCGCCTTTCTGGGCACTCAAGGACACTGTACAACTGCAACAATTAAGACACATAATTAAAAACAATAAAATAATGCAGGGTTCTAAATCATCAGGACATTAATGGGGGTAAGCTAATTTAAAGATGTACAAACGCTAAAAGGACTTTAAATTGTGTTGCAATAAATTATTTTTTTGATGGAACAAGAGCATTTTCTTCGGACTGACTGAACAGCGTGTACCAGAGACTTGTAACAGTCTCCTATATGTCAAAAGAATCGACAGCAGTGCATAAGAAGACGTCATACTGTTCCTTTCTTCTGCTACCAAGAATGTTAACTATAAAAAGGCTGGTTTTAAATCATTGGTAATGTCACTGCAGAAAAAGAATGTTTGGGTTTAGGTTGAGTGCAAAATAAAATTGTGAGTTTGGGATTTTCTGTTTATTTACCCGTCAGAGCAAGAAGATTAATAACACCAAAAACAAAATCAGTTAATCATCAAGTTACTTACTATGAATCACTATAACAATATTCCTCATCACTTAAAAACCCATGAGTTGTCAGAAAGTTAATGATTAGATTGTAAATGGATAATATTGGGCTATGTATGTACAGGGCGTATATGGGAAGGAATAAGTCGGTATTTTGAAATATTTAAAGGTGCACTGTGTAACTTTTTGACAGGAATTGGCCACCTGCTTGTCTCCATGGAGATGTTAGTGCTTTGCCTGGAATGTTTCACCATATGCCTGTAAGCTTATTGGAGATGGAGACAAGGAAATAACACCCTGAATATTGTTTATTCAGGTTAGATCTGTGGAGAGAATTAAATAATTTTTTAGCGATTTAAACACCTGTAACTGGATAAATGCAAATGTTTAATGCCATAGTGTGGAACATTTGAGCAACAGTGGTGGAAGAAGTACTTGATCTTGTTAATTAAGTACAAATACTGGAGCAAAAAAATAAAAGTATCACATGAAAAATTTGACTTTACCATGTCAACAAACAGGTGGCAGACCCTCCATCACAAAAGCTACACAGTGCCCCTTTAAATTTTTGAACAAAACCTAAAGAATCCCAGTGCATATGTTACGAAGCTTGCCATGTGGTGCAGGGGCATCCATATTTTGCCATGTTTTGCTCTGTAATAGTTTAGTCAGTGTTTGTTGTGTGAGGCTTATGCACGAGCGGAGCCACAGTTGGTCTGAAACGTGGAACATGATGCTGATCTGAGTCATGTGAGGTTAATGGGTTTGGATTGCACACTTCCTGTTGTTTCTGATGCTGTTTAGTCAAGTGGAGATTTAAAAGCCCTGTATCTCATTCGTGCTGTTTTCTAATCACAATAGACAGAGAGCTTTGTAATAATAATGATGGCTTGATTATGTTTTTTTTTTTTAAAGCTAATACCAATATTTGTGTTGCTTTAAGTTGAATTACTTTGTGTATGAATTGTGCTCTGCAAATAAACTTAGCTGTTCTCACAGGGACAGTCTGAAATTTTGGACATAGGACCTCATTTCCTAGTGAGCCAGAGTCTTGGAGACATGTGGAGACACTTTTTAAAATATTCCATCCAGTCCTTGTATTTACAGAGGTCACTGGTGCTAGGCTAGTGCATGTCAATGGCCATAGTTATCCTGCCACTAAAAACACTTTTACTCACTCCACAAAGCACCCGAAGCAAAACAATTATAATGCCAGACTGTCGATGTAAATGTCTGTGTTGATAGAATAATGTTTGAAATAAAACTAACCTTGCATCGCATGAATTGTTGCATGTTGTGGGACTATTTTATCATATATCAGTCCACCGCTGCCAAGCTTTCTATCAGGAAGTACAACTCGTTGCTGCTGCTCAGACTTAAATCCTTCAAATGCAAGGTTGATTTTACTACTAAAATTATTCTGTCGACACAGACATTCACATCGACAGTCTGGCGTAATAATAGATTTGCGTCGGGTGCTTTGGCCATTGACATGTACTAGTCTCGCACCAGCGACCTCTGCAAATACAAGAACTGGATGGAATATTTAAAAAGGTGTCTCCACATGTCTCCAACACTCTGGCTAACTAGGAAATTAGGTCGTACGTCCAAAAAAGGGCCCATATTATGCTATTTTCTGATTTATGTTATAATGTTTCCTTATCAAAAACAGACCAGGAGTTGCGTTTTGTTTCATTCACACATGTTTAACACACAAACTCTGCATATTTAGGCAGAGTTTTTCTCTCAAACTGAAAACACTGGTAAAACAGGAAGTGCTCCAGAGTGTATTTATGTGTATTCATTGTATTTATGTATTTATGTCCAAAATTCTGAACTGTCCCTTTAAAGTTGCAGTAAATTTCTCAAAAAACTATTGTCAGATAGCATTGATACCTGTTGATTTAGTGATTATTAGTCTGTCTACTCTTTTCCACCTTGTGATGTCATGTAGTGGTACTTTTCAAGTTAACTGCTACCTTTTACCTTTAGTTCAGTGAGATTGGGCATTCTAGAGCTGAAATTAACCAAATGATTCCAGTGAAACTCCTGTATAGAGTTTAAAAACACAGTAGAGCACTTCCTGTGTTGTGTGAATGTGAATGAAACAAAACACAACTCCAGGTGTGTTTTTGATGAGAAAACAACATTATACCACCAGAAAATAATGTAATATAAGCCTTTTAAGCATTTTCTTCTAGGTTTGATAAAAAATGCTTACAATATTAGATTTTATTTGACAATATACTGTACGAGGCCAAACCACAAGAGAAAATTAGATACAGAGATGATTGGGTTGCTTTGCCACACTTCCTGGTGAATCATTGAATTAAACCATGTCCGCAATAATATTATAAAGCTTTCTCCATTTAAAATCCTGATTATCGCTCACTCGTAAATCCTCTGCGTGTATCTGAAGGACATCGAACTGTTTTCAATATAGAGCCAGAGATTCATGAATAAGACATGACCGGCTTTTCACTAACCCACTTTCATTAATTCACAGAAACCCTTTTTGTAATGATAATACAGCAATGAGGCACACAGGGACACATCCATTAAAGCTGTATGATTTTATGACAAATTGTAATGCGAAATGTGTGGGTTTTTTTTGTGTGCTTTGTCTGCAGAAAACCTGGATGCTATGATTGCGCTACAGACCAAGAACAAGCTGGGCAAATCTCTGGGGCCGTCAGACTTGGGTACGCAGCATGTCCGTCCCACCTGTCAGAAACACAGAGAGGCTTCATTGTTTTATTCATCAGAAACTCAGTCTAATTCATCCCAGTATACCTCATAAAGATGATTCTATAGAGATTATGCACATGACTTCACTGCATTCAGAGTAACAGGGGCACATTAAAGATACATGTAATTTTCTTGAGAAGGAACATCGCCTGCATCTTTTCATGGAAATAGAAAGTTAAAACCATACTTCAGAACATACTCCATGGAGATAGACACATTTTTTTTTAGAGATTATACCTAAAGGAACAACATTTCTTTGGAAGTAAGCAGACCAACTAAGAGTCAGGTTTGTGAAGAGGCAACAAAAACAGGCAACAAAAACATTTAATTTTAGTATATTTTTTAGAGTATGATATCGTTTTACATGTTGAAAGCTGTTCCACCTTCTCATTGCTAACATTAGGTCCTGGGACACAACTTTAACAATTACTCATCTCAGGCTATATAAGAACAAATGCCACGTAATCCAAAGTTACTTATGCAAAATGTATTCAAATTGATCTTAAAAAATGAGAAAGTGAAGTAAAAATGTTGTTATGTTTGCAGGAAAAAGCTTTGACGAAGACGACAACACAAAGGCAGAGGCGGCAAAGATGCAGAAGGAGTATGAGAACCTGAAAGACTCGACCAAAGAGGAGCAGCCTTCAACCGACACCAGTCAGTCCACAGCCAAACCCTGACGACCTGAGGACACACAGACCTGTAGTGATTCTAGTCATAGAGCTACGACAGACGGACCGACAAATAAACAGTGCAGAGCTTTATCAGCAACTATTTGAAATCTCAGGGTACATTTGTGAAAATATTTAGGAACTGTGTGCAGCTAAAAATGTGTTTGTAATGAAATGTGAAGGCCAAAAACCTACTAGAAACCTACTAGATAGTCAGTTTTATAGTTATAACCTTAACTTCAGTGTAGTTATTATGTTTTCATTAGATGCACTTAGTCCCTTTGAGCATATTTTAGTTTATCCCTTTTGCGTTTAATCATTTTAAATTGTTTTAATTGACATCACTTTTTTTTTTTTTTTATTACTTTTGTACATTTTTTATTTTGTTTTGTATTTTGCTTTTTGTTTTATCTTATGTTTTATCTTTCCAATAAACATACCTCATTTTTACATCATACAATTACAATGCACTCCCCCTTCCTCATACATTAGTCACCAATGATGGCTAAACATTTAATGGGTAAAGAATGAAAATAAATAAAAGTTTAAATTCAAACTGCAAATTTAGTTTTAACATTTTACAAATTCCAGAAATTATATCCATTGGCATATGATTTTTTTTGCAGTTTAGATGACTCTAAAGTGTTAATACTCCTGGAATAATTAATTCACAATCGTAAAAACTGGTCCAAAAAACTCATACATCCCAGCCTGCAACCTAATATTCTCAGTGCCCCAGCTTCACAGATCCCCAGACAGGAAATGACCTTGTCCCTTGTTGCCGCGGTTACAGATCTAGGCCAGTCCAATCCGCTCGCAGCAGGACACACTGTGCACTGTCCAGCTCCACTAATCCAGACTTAGACACAAACAAACTGCAGATTAACAGCAGCCCTTTTATTCAAATGTAAAATACGACAGAGAAAAGTACCCCCCCACCCAGACACGCAACTGTCCACTGGTTTCAGAATGATGACAAATTAGGACTGTTGCCGTAGCAATTGATAATTAAAACAAAATGTCATATAGTTTGAATAGTGAAGTCCTCAAAATGTTGACGATAACAAGAAACTGAAATCTATGAACCCAAGAATAACTGACTAAATTTGTATAGAGTTTTATTGGGCTTATGGTAGGTGAAAACCTTAAATATACTGTATACATAAACAAAGATAAACCGATGTCTTACCATTTATTAATCCTTAATATTGCAATGAATTTCTGACATAGTCTTAGTCTAGTTTTGGAATATAGTGTATATTATTAAAACACAGCAAAATATAGCCGTAAAATAATAAATCTCTGTGGTTTTCTGATGGTTTAGTTATTAAATCTTACTCTTAATTCATTACCCTCAAAACTACAAATTGTTTTCTTTAAGTAGATGTGTCCATAGCTGTCACAATTGTACCTGATTTTTTAAAAAGTCTTGAAACAACTACTATAAATTAGAACCTTCGTGCAATCCTTCCTGGTTGTTGAGCCACCATTTATGACGTTCAATACTAGCTTGACAAGTTCATGAATTTCCAAATGAAAAGCAAAATATTCTGAGCTTTTCTTCTTCTATCATTTCCAGGTCGACCGGGCAAATCTGAAACTTACTTGGAGGCCATCAGAAAGAACATCGAGTGGCTGAAAAAACACAGCAAAGAAGAAGGCAAAGATGGTAAGACTCTTAAACTAACTACTTCTGTGTTAGAGGGAGACTTGAGAAGAGCCCTAATTGGTCACAAGCACTTCAGCACGAAATAAAACGTTACAGCGCCTTTGTTAAACCCACATTTGCAATTTAAATCAGGAGTCCAAGACCAGACGAGAATCCTCCACCGAAATTCTCATGAATATTTATAGCTCCTCTTGATGGGCTCGTCCTAATTACTGCGATTGAAGTTTCTCAAGTTGAACACAAAAGTTGGAGCATGTTTTTCCCCTCCCTCCTCTTTTTGTGAATGTGAAGAGGGGGAACGGGTGTTGTTTTGTGCAGCTTAGCAACTCTGTCAACTTAAGTACACTGACGTCTATGGAAATAATATGCAGTTAAAGGGCATGTTGTTTTCTATACATATGAGCAAAGTTTGTCTTGCTCCAGTAAACAAATATTATATAGGCAGCTCTTCAGGTCAAAATCAGTCCGCTGTGTACTGTCTGCATCAAATTATAAAGTGTACTCAGGGGTGTAGTGGGCATGGTACGCGGGGGTATGCCATCCACCCACTTCTCCTGACGAGAGATATAAAAAAATACCAAATATAAAATAGCCTAAAACTTAAATGTCAAACCGGAGCTATTGGCAATGACGAAAACAACCTGCATAGGCTCATGAAAACTCCAGTACTGTCCTATGGTGACCTGCGATATGAGGGGACCAGGACTGATCCAGGACTAAAACAGGTCTAAACTAGAGCGAAACTAGGACTAAACCAGGACTAAACCAGGTCTAACCAGGACTGAACTAGAACTGAACCAGGACTGAGTATCGTGGTCCTGCAGGTGCACCCATGTAGACTGTCGGGTGACTGGAGGAGAAAGGACCAGCGCAGAGGTCCACGCTCCACGGGGCTCGGGGTTCTCTCATTCGCTCTCAAGTCCAAGATTAGTCCTGGTTTAGTCTTAGTTTAGTCTTGATTTAGTCCTGGTTTAATCCTGGTTTAATGAGCGGGATTCATCAAATCGATGACGTCACGAATGGCATTATCCCCACTTAAAAAATCCTCACTACACCGCTGGTCGTACTGTCAGAGAATCAGGAAGTGCATGGGTTAGCATGCTAGCTGTTGTTAAGCTGCAGCTCTGACAAGTACAATGACAGCCAAGGAAATACTTTTTAGTTAAATAACTGGATATTTACTCTGCTTTGTGTTGGGATTGTTAATCTCTTTATTTTAATTGTGCCAGGAAGGGCATCTGGCATAAGTAAAAATTTATTATTACTTTGGTTGAACTTTTAGTAATAGTAATAATAGTAGTACTAACTAAAGGTAATTTTTGGAGTAGTTGCAGCAGCAGAAGTAGTAGAATGACTTTATAGGTGTTTAGAGCTTGTTTTTCTTGTGTACTGGAGTAGCCTGTTATTGAAGCTGCATTAATTTTGTTTTTACTTCCATAATGTGTATTGTAAAAGCAGTATTTTGTGGTAACATTTTATCGCAAATTCATAAGAAAGAGCCAAGTTCGTTGCTAAATGAGGGTTGGGATGAAAGCTGATTGGCAACTTCACTTCTCCATCTGAAAAATTGCTTTGAATGCTGTGTCAAAAAATATTGCTCATGTCAAAAAATATTGCTTGTGAATACTAGTGATGTGTGAAGATTTGTGAGAGCTGGGAACTAGTTTGACAGATTCTTATTCCTTTCACGGTCTGAAAATCAGGTACCTCAGCTTTAAGCCTGAATGAAGGACTAGATCAGATTTGTATTCAACTTTAATTGCTTGCCCAATAATACATCATTTGTAACTAGCACAGGGGTTGCTTCTGGCGTTTTTTGTTTATTGATCTGCAAAGACCAGTAAAGGGTCATCAAATCTAAAACAAATGAACTCCTTTGAGGCCGTCTCTAATGAAGCAGTAACAGGGCACAGTCAGCAGCTTCAGTGACCCAGAAACTGAAGAGGTGTGAAAAACATGGACCAAAATCACTGGTCCAGAGGAGCAGAGTGAGGAATCAATGCTTCGTTAACACAGTAATATCAAATGTTAATGACTTCACAGCGCTCCAGCCATCTGCGCTCTGATGACAGAAAACATGTTTGTGAACTGTTTTACAAGACGGAGGCAAAGCTGGTGTTATGCAGAGGTTAAAATCATCAAAACGTGAACTAAAGATACATCTGATTCAAGACTCTTCAGCAAAAACACTAAAATTATGTAGTATTTGTGGATTTTAGAGTGGTGTGAAATTAAAACTGTTGATATAGGAATAACAAATCAATCTGTTGAATGGCCAGAAGTCTTCAAAATGCTGAATGCTGAAACTCAGGAATATGCAGTATAAAAATGACTTTTTCTCTATTTTCTTTATTTTAAACATATTAAAATATTACTGTAACTATCACTATCCATTCTATATTAATTTGTATTCTGGTAACTTGGTTGTCATATCATATATATCATGAATAAACATATTTCTGAAATGTAGGATTAGTTAAGGTAAAATAATTGTAAGAGGTGTTGTTGGGTTTTGGGATGATGAGAAACTAGGGTCGTTGCCACAGCGATTACCAACTTAAAACATACTTTAAAATGTGGAAAAAATCCTCAAAATTTTACACATATCAGAAAGCTGAAACTCTCGTGACTAGAAATGGTACCAAGCTTTACGTTTCAAATTAATTTAAGGAGGTTTTCTAATACATTCAACTAAATAATCATCGCAGTTTGAGGTGAACAGTGTTAAAACCATATTCGACCAATCACAGTGAAGTATGAACTCTTAGAAGAAGTACATAACTTTAATGACCCATTACAGGCAATCTAAAGTTAAAGGTACTTTGTGTAACTTTTATGGTAGTGTCTGTTACCTGCTTTGTTTTATGGTTATGTTATTGCTCTGCCTTGAATGTTCCACAGTTCTACCTCACATTTATTCAATTACAGGTGGGTTTATAGTTAAAAAATACCTTAAAAATAAGCATTCTGACTGACTGGGGTCACCTGTCCACAAATCTGACCTGTAATTTGGACTGGTTTTGTGTCCATGAAGATAGAAAGGTTTAATACCATATTGTGAAACATTCCAGACAAAGCAATAACATCTCCACAGAGAGAAGCATTTAACAGACCCTCCACCAGAAAAGTTACTCAGTGCACTTTTAAGTTGTCATTGATGTACATTAATTACATAAATTGTGATAAAACTGCAATAATGATTTGGCTCGAAGAAAAGTGAGATGTTCAGTTTGACGTGAACAATTTTGAAACCTGATTCGACCCAGATTTCCCCTAAACTTGCAGAGATGTAAAAATAGGACGATTTGGCAACGTTTTTATGGAGCGGCAGTGTCCTGGGGGAGATCAGCGGGGGCTCATCTCTATTATACAGGACACTTCATTTGGATTCAGGGAGGGAGGTGGTTGCCCCTGACGACAGAAGGCCTCCTGGGACCTCAGTGGAGACAGATCTGGTCAGGACAGAAACACTTCACTCAAAAGAAGCTGTTTATTTGACTATATTATACTTTTTTTTGTACTTGGTTTGGTGGGATTGTACCTGTGGTAAATACTCATCACAGTTTAACATCAGCTGAGTGGCAATTTGTGGAAAACATGCTGAAAAGAAAACTACAAAAATACAAGAAGTAGCAGTGAGTTCAATAACATACTCACTCTACCTGTGTCATAAGCACAAAAAACTCCATCCCAAATGCAGTTTCTGGCAGTTTAAACATTCATCCAACAGAAATAACAGTTTTATCATTTGGTTTTTGTTATTCTAAACATAATGATTGTGTAATTTATAAGGGTGTAAGTCTCATGATATGATATCATCACAGTATAAACTTCACGGTGCGATATTTATTGCAATATTTTGTGGAGGCTAAACAGATAAAATGGTGAATATGCTTCTGTTTCCTCTTAAAATGCCCTGACAACACTTAATCCAAAGAACTAAGAGTTAAAAGTGCTTAGAACTGTTATTTCTACTTGTAGTCTTCACTAAAATGGAGCCAAGGATCATGGTCTATGTAGTTCCTTCTGTCTTTTTTAGTTATTGCTGCACCATAACTCTTAATATAAGCAAAGAGACTTGTAATTCAATATGTTTTGATGGTCCACAATATTTTTGTGAGAAGTTTGATGATACGATATCACGATATTTCAGTTATTGTTACTCCTTTAGTAATTTAGACATGTATTAGCTCTTCTCAACATTATGGGAACATGAAATTCCCTGTCACATCTGCTGCCCATGTCTGACCGAGTAAAGTCAAACTAAGCAAGATTTGTAGTTAAATCTTAAATATAATGTTTTAGTGAAAAGAAAAGTCTAATCTCACGTGCGCTTTAATCAAGATGGGGAATTTAAAGATCACTGTACGACATATGGATGTATAAGCAGAAAATTTGGGTGGGACAGCTAATTGTTCTCAAGGATCTAGATTACAAAATTTATCCATGGGTTGCAGCTTCCTGTTACATGCAACACTTTGAGGACTTTTTTACCCTTCTGAAGTGATGATATTTTGTTTTCATTTGTTAATCGCTATGGGAACATGCCTAATCTTTCATCATTCGTGAACTCATGGATAGGCCTCTTTTTGTAGTTCGTATTTCTGCCCACAGAGGATGCCTAAGCCCCCCAGCATCACTGCTCGCTTCCCAGATTTATATTTAGTCCTTGGCACACTTTTGGTCAGTTTTTAATTTTGTCTGATCGCTCAGCATTCCTGAATCATTTTAGCTATGGTAGTAATTCATTTAGAGTAAGTTATGGGTAAATTTGTCTATGGACTATGACGTCTACATCTTAACTTCATTTACCCCTTCATCTACCCCCAGTTTGACCCTGATTTAGTCCTAGTTTGATCTTGGTTTAGTCTGGTTTAGCCCTGGTTTGGCCCTGGTTAAGTCGAAATTTAATACTGGTTTGCTCCTGGTTTTCTCCTGGTTTTGTCCTGATTTGGTCCTGGTTTTGTCCTGATTTGGTCCTGGTTTAGTCTTGATTTGGTCCTGGTTTAGTCCTGTTTTAGCCCTGGTTTGGTCCCGGTTTCATCCTGTTTTGGTCCTGTCTTAGTCCTGATTTGGTCCAGATTTTGTTCTGGTTTAGTTCTGATATGGTCCAGGTTTTGTCCTGATTTGGTCCTCGTTTAGTCCTGGTTTAGTCCTGATTTGGTCCTGATTTAGTTGTGATTTGATCCTGGTTTAGTCCTGATTTGGTCCTGGTTTAGTCCTGGTTTGGCCCTGGTTTAGTCCTGATTTGGTCTTGGTTTAGTCCTGATTTGGTCCTGGTTTAGTCCTGTTTTAGCCCTGGTTTGGACCAGGTTTAGTCCTGATTTGGTCCTGATTTATTCCTGATTTGATCCTAGTTTAATCCTAATCTGGTCCTGGTTTGGTTCTAGTTTTGCCCTGATTTGGTCCCATTTTTGCCCTAATTTGCTCCTGGTTTTGCCCTGATTTGCTCCTGGCTTTGCCCTGATTTGGTCCTGGTTTAGTCCTGGTTTGATCTCCACCTCTCCCTCCTCTCCAGCTCTTTTATCTCTGAAGAGGAGCTGGAAAAGTACAATAGCCTTTTGGAGCCAAACGCAGCACCATGGAAACGGGCCCTGGGCCATTTAGCATGTTTACTCGAGCACAAGAGCCAATAGAACCAGACCTAGAATGGTGCTAAAAGTGATACGAAAACCAAGACTAAACAAAATATCTACAGAGGCTAAACAAAGGACGACGGATCAAACCATAAAGCAGGTCTGAACCAGTTCTAAACCAAGACTATACCAGGTCTAAAACTGGGCTGTGTCACACATAAGGTCTTGGGTTGAGCCCAGTTTTGTCCTGTTCTTTAGTTACTGTTTAGTCATCCAGGTCTAGTCCCTGTTTAGTCCCAGTTTTGCCCCTAACCAGAATTAAAGACGACTAAATAGAAGGACTAAGCCTAGAATAAAACTGGTCTTTTGGGATCAAACAAAGACCAAAGATGACTAAAATGGGACTAAGTTAGGTTTAAATCAGCTCTAAATCAGGACTAAACCAAGACTAAACTGCATCATACTTGTCATGTACCACATAATTTTCGGACTAAACATGGACCAGATCAGAACTGAACCAGGACTAGAACAGGACCAAACCAAGACCAAACTACAGAGGACTAAATCAGGGCCACACCTGGTCTAAATGACGGGACTAAATGTTTATTGACACCTTGGTTTGTCTCAGTATGTGTGATCGTGTGTAGGCCTGGTATCTGTGCACATGTCGTAAACAGATGGAGATTGTGAGTGTAGAAGCTTCACGCTGCTCAGACTCAGACTACAGTGAAGTGTCTAATAAATCCTGCAGTAAATCGTGTTTGCCTCCAGTAAATATAAACCGCAAGACTGCAATAAAAATGTATCTGATCTAATTATAAGTAAACTGTTATATAGCCTCTAATGAATAGCACTGGAAATGTCTGAGATTTATTCAAACAGCTTCTTTTTATAGGCCAGAGTTTAGGTGTTTTTGATTGTTTTTTTTCATACATATAATAAACTTTGGTCTGATAAAGAATATGTTACAATAAATGATCAGTAAATCAAATGAACCTCATAAGACAGTTGTTTGTTGTGTTTGAACAGAAGGCTACACAATGACCCTGTAATGGAAAAGTGGTACCATATTGTTCGGACTATAAGTCGCTCCGGAGTATAAGTTGCACCAGCCAAAAATTGCGTAATGAAGAAGAAAAAACATATATAAGTCGCATTTGGACTGTAAGTCACACTTTTTGGGGGAAATTTATTTTGTCAAATCAGAGACTAGGAACCGACATTTCATCTTGAAAGGCAACTTATAGTAATAACAATATGACAGAGAACAACAGACTGTTAACGTCACATATGAACAGTTATTCAGATAACTATAACATAAACAACAGAACAGAACAAGTTTGCTAAACTCTTGATCTCACTCCAGATCACTAAATCCATTCTTCATCCTCGGTGTCACGTCTGAGCAAATCCGCAACCTCCGGAGGTAAATTGAGCGCCGCTTCCTCTTCTGTGTAGCTGACATCAGACTCAGCATCAGTTCCAGTTAGAATTATTCCGCCCTTTCTGAATCCCAACAGCATGTTTTCGGTTGTCACTGAAGTCCAGGCTTTGTCAGTCCATCCAATGACTTCCAGGAAAATTTCATGGCGCATCCTCTCAGTTACCGTGAAGCTGTGTTCTCCATCCCTGCTTTCCGCCAGTCCCTCACAAGTTTCTCGCTCACTCCAAACTTTCTTTGTCCTGCTGGATTGCTGTTTTCAGCTGCATATTTCTCTACTTGCAGCAGGACAGCAACTCTTTCTGCAGGAGACATTCGCAGTACAGCCAAGTGACAGTGGTACAGGAGTAATAGGAGCAGCAGATATTGACCCACAAGCCTAGAGCGCTCTGTCGCAGCTATCAGTGTGAAAATTTTAATATACAAGTCACACTGGAGTATTGTTGCAAGACCAACCAAACAATGAAAAAAAGTGCAACTTATAGTCTGAAAAATACGGTATTTTAAACTCAATTGTGACTATAACCTCAAACATAACAAGGCAATTGAATCAGAAAGGGCATCTGGCATAAAACATAAGCCAATAGTAGCACAATTGTGTCCTTTCTAAGTCACAATTTTTACAATTCCCATAAATGTAAGTGGGGGTATGGCTTGCTATGGTTTTGTTATTGTGAGTAATTTGTGAATCCTTACTTGAGAACAATGTACAGCCCTGAAATTATTCAAAAGTTATTGTCTGACCTTGTTTGTGTCCTCTGTCCATCTGTTTGCCTCTGTGTCCCAGGATCACACAGAGAAGAAGCCGATGGCACAGCTGCTGCTTCAGGCTCACAGTTCATCACTTACAATGAAGGATTTTTAGAGTTTATATGTGGTTGTTTCTAAATTTAGTCACAGCCACATGCACCACAGCCATGCTGCTGTCTGCAATATCTATTTTTCCGTTAACTTCTTCTTTCACTATATCTGAAATTATTTGAGTTTTCAGTTTATCAGTTTAACATTATTTGAGTGTTTAGTTTAACAGTTTAGTTCTTCACTCAATGATTTTTTGTGATTATTTTTTTCTTTTCTTCTTGGAAGCAGTTTTATTAGTTTGATACATGTGGACCATGCATATCCCTGATTGGCTGTTCCACCTGTCAATCACATTTGAGCATTTGGCATTTGAACACAGGGACGTGCACCGGTGACCAGACTCACATCTTCTTAAAGTATCATGAAGAAGAATTGTGTTTTCTGTATCCCAGGCAAATTAATCCCTCTTAAACTCTCTCCAACAAACTGACCAGACTGTATAAATATAGTTTGGGTCTTTTTGAGTTAAAGCCATAGTGGGTCACTTTTTTACCCAAAAATAAACGAAAATAAAAACTTTTTTTTTTCATTACCGGTATGTTTATTGCACTAAAAAACATTAAAAAGTGCATCATTACTGTCAGCAGGCTCCACAAACTCTTGTCTGACTAGTATTTGCTATGGAAATGCTGTTCCTTTGGGATTAATAATCCACTGTATGGCATAAAATTGATTTATTTTGATGGAGATTGTTCCCAAATGTATGGTTTTAACTCTCCATAGAATTGTGCAATTGACTTTCCACCTCTAGAAAGTTACATAGTATTGCATTAAATGAGGTAGTATGAGGAAAATAATAAAATGCTTTGGTTTTGGCTGTAGTATCAGATTACATGTCATGGTTGGTTGATTTCTCTCCATTCTTGATTATTGGTATCCTCTTAACTGCAGACAACTGACCTCAATCTCTCTGGCATGAAGGAAGGAAGATTATTTGTTTGGGTTTCCTGTCTCAAGAAAGAACTAATTTTTTACTGTTTAGCAAATCATGTTTAAAACTACCGTAAACAATATAATTCATTATTTCTTTGTCTATTTTCTTTCTGTGTTTTTCAGATTACGACCTGTCCAAACTCAAAGACTTCATGGACCAACAGGTGGACTCTTACATTGAGAAAGGCATTATTTCTAAGGATGAAGGAGGAACAATCAAGAGGATCTACAGCAGTCTGTGAAGCCAGTAATCTTACAAAGCAGGACTGAATACAATACAATACTATCTGACAGCAAAACCTTTAAAAACGTAGATTTCTTCAAAGCATGGCATTGTACAATCAAAATGACCCCCAATAGTGCTGATAGCTATTTACAGTACTGTGCAATAAGTTGTAGCCAATCTGTGTGCAAAATAGTTGAAAAAAAAGTTAACTAGAATCAAACTCTTTTGGTCTAAATATGGGGGCTGAAATTAACATCAAATAATGAAATTAAATTGTGTACTTATTAATTAAAGCAATCTTAAATCTTATTGGGCATTTTCCACATTTGGTTAACACGTTTTTGCACAGTATTGGCTTAAATTAATTTTATTTTTCTCACAGCTAACAACTGCACGACAGTATAGAAGAATAGGACAAGTACTATTGGCATTTTAATCTAACACTAAAAAGCTTTTATCAAATTATAATTTATCATAATGAATGTTTGAAGTGTCATACTTGTTTCCTGTCTATCTACTTATTTTTGTCAAAATCAACTCAATTCCTGTAACATGATTTATAGCCTGTTAAGTTCTAATATGTTTTATTCTACCAAAAATACCGTATATTGTGTATCCTTCAGTGCCCTAAATCTTACTTTTCAGTTCCGCTTTTGTCCACTAGAGAGAGACATTGTATAGGCATATTTGTTTATCTTGCTTCTGTCTTTAGTGAGTTACGGGCTGTAATGGTCTAGAGGCGAAAGTATTTTAACATGTGTGTAAATAAGTGTGATTTTCCTAAAATGTAAAAGCAAATAAAAGATTGTCTTTTCTTTATTGGTGTGCTTAAGTGTGAAATTTCAAGACATCTTAGCCTAGATTAACCAAAATATTCATCAGCACAGATTAGGATCTCTGTCTTTGCCCTAAAAATATGCGCATGAAGACTATGTAGGCCCATTTGGTTATAATTTGGCGATACATAGGCTTACATATGTATATTTTAATTTTTTTTTTTAAAAAGCTAGTAATGGCATTTTCTTTTGCTGTGTGTTAATTACTTATTAAACTTAAGGATAAGCTATTGTAGAAATTTTTGAATGAATTTTGAGTTGATTTTGTGTTTTGTATCCACGAGTTACTTGCGATAAAAATTTAGCACCGTTGCCATAGAAACCTAAGTTTAAACAAAATATTATATAAATTGAATTGGCAAAAGTCCTCAAAAAGCTGAAACCCATAAGTAAATTTGGCGTTAATTAGTTAGATAGAAAAAATATATATATAATAATAATTAATAAATAATAATAACCAACGTATTATAACGTAACAGCGTAGCCGTTTTTGAAAAACAACCGATGAGCGGTCACATAACGTCAATTTAACGTCTCCTGTGTGGATTATAAGTTTTCTTCTTGGTTTTTGGTCGATATATTTTCTAATATTTGACCGAAAATGACGTCTTATAAGGATCTAATGATGTACCAGCTGAGCTCATTTTTGTACCAGAGGTTATACTCGACGGCACAGGACATTTTGGGACACGTGGAGAAAGTTCTGACTGAAGGTTTGGAGGGGGACCGCCAGGGAACCGGACTGGACTTTCCGGACTCGATTTCAGGTTCGAGAGCCGAAAAAAACATGGAAAAAATATATATGTATATCTGAGAAATATTAGAGTTGAATATTAGTTGAAATGGCCGTGAAGCGCCAGAAAAATGACAGTAAACAGGACCACAGACTTTGGCCATATATAAGTCACCGTCTATGGCCAGGTCGTACAGAGGTCCAGCTTTGGTTCTGCCAATTCAATCCAGCCTTCAATAATGGCCTAATAAATAAAGATTAGACCCGGTTTAGTCCTGGTTTGGTTCATGGTTTGGGTTATGTCCTCATTAATTTGCCGTGGTTAAGGTTTGAGCTCACGTTAATGTTAAATAGACCACATTTACATTTTACACAAAACACACTGAACCTTTGAGACCTTTTCTTAACTTTATCTTAACTTTATCTCAACTTTACCTTATGATGATAATGGCCAGTAGGACCTATGTGATGTATTTATTTAGCACTGTAACTTGTATCTTGTTTTAAATACAAAAGATAAATGGATTTGTTTTACCCTATTTTTTTATTTATTTTCTTAAAATTAGATTATATGTACTGGAATATCTGGTTGTTATTGTTGATTCTTATGTTTGGAAATAGGCTACTCTTTGTTTTACTCATAAGCATATTAAATAAATCTACTGAAATTGAATGTTTGCATGTTATCACCATGGAATTATAATACATTATTATTATAGATCCACAATTGTCACTTTCAATATTTCTAAGCAAGAAAATGGGATATTTTACTTATTTGTAACTTTTTTTTTCTTTTTGACAGCCGCTCCTCTGACCTGCATCACTTTTGGAGATGGGAATCAACCAATAGCACCTCCAGCACCACAAGAGGCCCACCTCAGTTCAACTGAGGAGTTTGTGCTCAGCACCAGTGGTAACACTGCACAGGATCAGTACTTGCAGGAGACAAGACAGGAAGGAGGAACTGATGTTCTTCAAGAGCAGGACTCTGCTGACCAGCTTTTTGAGGATGTTGAACACAATCAGCCAGAAAGAGACAAACTGCAGACAGATTCTGAATCTTACAATGATGACACCAATGAAGCCTGGAGGGGACAACGTGGAGCAACACCATCAAGAAATCTGAAGACAAAAGTGTCAGAACAGCTCAGAAATATAAAAGAGGAGGTTACCCAGTCTACAGAGAGGCCACACTGCAGTGATGTCTCTGGAAAAGGTTTTACACACAAAAGTTCTCCAAGAGTCCATGAATGTGCACACAGAGGGGACATACTGTATATATGTGACGTCTGCAAAAAATCATTCATAACCATCAATGAACTGAAAATCCACAAATGCACTCAAACAGGGAAAAAAACATATCAGTGTGACATCTCCCAAAAATCATTCACAACAAGGTCTAAATTGAAGGTACATGAATGTAGACACACAGGGGAAAGACCGTATCACTGTGACGTCTGCCAAAAGTCATTCAGAACGAGGTCTAATCTGAAGGTACATGAACGTAGACACACGGGAAAGACCGTATCACTGTGACGTCTGCAAAAAATCATTCACAACGAGGTCTAATCTGAAGGGTACATGAACATAGACACACAGGGGAAAGACTGTGTCACTGTGACGTCTGCCAAAAGTCATTCATAACCAACGATATCCTGAAAATCCACAAATGCAGTCATACAGGGGAAAAAACGTTTCACTGGGACATGTGCCAAACATCATTAAAAGCGAGGAGTAATCTGAAGGTACATGAACGTAGACATACAGGGGAAAAGACATACTCCTGTGACATGTGGAAAAGCGTTCAGTCAAAGTCGTAGTCTGAAACAACACTAATGTGCAGTAAAAGCAGAGGTGATGAGTTTTGGTGACGCTCCAGCAGAGGACGCCACACAAAGCAGCTGTCTGAAAACAGAAGAGAGCGAAGCTGAGTTTTCTTGTGGATTTTGTGGGAGGTGGTTTCTTCGTGAGTCCAGCCTCAGAAATCACCTGGATCATCTGACCAGAGCAGATGTGTCTATCTGCGAAGTGTGCGGTCAAATCTTCTGCCAAAAACCTTTGCTTCTACAACACCGCAGAATGCACTGATGAAGCTAAAGCCAACTAACGCACTGCTAAAGTTAACTAAAGACAGAATTAAGCCCACTTTATGGTCGTGCGTCAAATCGTCTGCATCGTTGCCTTGAACCCTCTCCGCGGAGCATCTGTGTTGACCGACCTGCACCTCAGAAATTTTTTAACTATGCCTAGAACAGACGCAGACAGCAAGGGAAAGTGACGCAGACAATAAGGGCTGTGATTGGTCCTCTGTTCCACCGCACTACAGACATTTCCGGTACTCCGCTTTCCCGCTTCATTTTGTTGTTGCGGTGAATTACTTCGCGATGCATAGACCTCGACACAGATCCATAAATCAAAAACGATGACGACAAGGCGACGGCGGCAGTGTGCGTTGAGTCGATGTAGAACTATAATTCAGCCTTTATAGTTCTACGTCAACTCAACACACACTGTCACCGACATTTTAGATTTATGGATCTGCGTCGAGACCTATGTGCCACGAAGTAATTCACTGTCACAACATTAGGAGTCTAGGATTGTGTAAACAAAATTAAATGGGAAAGCGGCAATCCGAAAATGTATGTAGAGCAGATGTAGAGGACCAATCACAGCCCTTATTGTCTGCGTCATTTCCCTTACTGTCTGCGACTATTCGACGCGTAGTTACAAAATTTCGGAGGTGCACGTCTGTCGACGCAGACATTCTGTGGAGGGGGGTTAAAGGCAACGCAGACTCTGTGTCGCAACGCAGACGATTTGGCACATGACCATAAATTGGACTTAATGCCCTGCTAAAGCTAACTAACACCTTGCTAAAGCTGTTCACTATGCAAATTTAAGATAAATCTATAACTCAAGAAAGCTACAACTTAATCTAAGACTGACATCTTTATTCAGTCCATAATATTTCTGCCAAAAACTTCTGCTCCACCAACACCAGAGAGGGCACTGGCACTGCTAAAGCTAACTAACGTACTGCTAATTCACTCCTCGTTGCTTAAACTAAACTAAGTTTAAGATAAAGCTACAACTCAAGAGCAGCAGAACTTCTTTAAGCCTGGCATATATTCAGTTCATATTATTTGCCCAAACCAGCATTTATAATCCACTTGTGCTAATTTGTGCTTTTAGGCTTTGTTGTAGTTTATATTTGACTTGCAGTTGAACATGTTATTTTTATTTAAATGTTATTTTCTGCTTATAAATAAGAATTAATTCTCACCAGTTTGTAGCCTTTGTTCAAAATGGTTGAATTTTTCATTGTTAATTGATATATGTTGTACTACTTTATTTCATTCAGTAGGTGGCGCCACTTCAAATGTTGTGTGCAGTTGAATGTTTAAATTTAGTTTCAAAAAGTTGTAACTGACCAAAGAGTGATCTGTTGTTTTTTTGTGTGTCATTGTAAACTGAAGCACTTCTGGTATTAACTTGTTTAACTTTAATGGAATGTATTTTAAACCAATTACAACTTTGTGTTTGTAAAATAATATTGTATTAATATTATTTTTGGAATAAATACTTGTATTGTTACGTGCAGCAATGCTTCCCTGTGCGTATTCCTGTTGAAATATTAGACTAATATTAGGTCATGCTTTTCAAACCCCTCATACGACTGCAGTGATTAAACGATCAGTTGTGGCTCGTCAAATATAAAACAGGATCATAGTTGTATTTTGATCAATGTAATCATTATCTGGAGTATACAGTCTAAAATATATATGCATACAAAAAATACAACAAAGGCAGCGGCATTATTAAATCAAAATGTCAAAAATAATAATAATTAAGTATTTCAGGTTTTCATTGATAAGACACTTTATTCAGAACTCATCTCTATGTGGTAGCCTCCAGTCTTTACCTTTGGATGATGTATTTAAAAATATCAGGGTATAATAGAAATAATGACCAGCTGACTACTAAAATAATCTTCAGCATTCTCATGTTTGTGAGAGTATAAAGTACAGGACACAGCACTTTTACCATAATACAAAAGCACCAATTTCAGGGTTACCAAGTGAAATCCAGATGATGAGAAGAAAAAAAAATCAAGGTTCATTTTGTAAGTTTTTTGGAAGTGGGGGGGTCACCTGCTTGTCCCCCTACGATGTGTCACAGTATTGTAATAAACTTATCTGTCTTGCCTTTATTTTATTCTTTTATTGATTAAAGGTGCACTGTGTAACTTTTCCGGTTTTCTCCTTGTCTCCATGGAGATATTACTGTTATTGCCTTAATTATTCCACAGTATGGAAATAAACTTGGTAATCACAATGGAGACAGGTTAATAGTCAGATCTGTGGAGAAGCAAGTCTGCACGTTCATGTTTTTAAAGTAATACTAACACAAATGCAAGAGAGATATGTTTAAAGCCCTACTGTGGAACATTCCAGGCAAAGGAATAACATCTCTGTGGAGACAAGCAAGTAACAGACACTCCACCATAAAAATTACATATAGCACCTATAAGAAAATACTTTAAAAACATGCACTCTTATTGTGAGTGACCTTGACTCTCCACAGATCTGTAACTTGGCCTCGTGGTGTCACCTGTAGATACAGTATGTTTAATGCCACACTGCAGAACACCATATAACATCACCATGGAGACAAGACGTACCCACAGTGGAGAAAGCTGCAGTATCATCAAAAGTCTCACAATAATATCGCGGGCTGTATCGAATCACAAGTTACTGTGCATAAATACATGGTTTTATAGTAGCAACAGCTTATAAACATCAGGAACTACATATCCCATGATTCATTTCAGTGCAGACAACGTGAAGAAATATGTTTTTGACTTGAATTCTTGGGATTATGATGGAAATAATTCACACCAAAATCTTGTCAAAGTATTTTAAAAGCAAAAAAAAAAGTGACCCATCTGTATTATCTTCTTCAAAATCTTGCAATAAATATCGTACCATGAGTTTCATACAGTGACAATATCGTATCATGAGACTTGGATATCGTTACACCCCTAGTAGTTACAAATAATATTATATCTTGACTTATAATTTATGTAATTATAAACAAATTGTGCTTGAGTCGTTAAAGGGCCATACCCTATTTCCTGATCTGTTATAATGTTGTTTCCTCAACACAAACAGGTCTGGAGTTGTGTTTTGTTTCATTCATACGTTTAACACACAAACCTGCTTATTTAGGCTGAGTTCTTCTCTCAAACAGAAAACTCCACTCTGCACTGGTCCTTTCGCCTGCGTACCTCCGGGCCCATCCCGATACACAGTCCTGGTTTAGTCCTGGGATCAGTCCTGTTTTAGTCCTGTTTTAGTCCTGGGATCAGTCCTGGTTTAGTCCTGTTTTAATCCTGGGATCAGTCCTGATTTAGTCCTGTTTTAGTCTTGTTTTAGTCCTGGGATCAGTCCTGGTTTAGTCCTGTTTTAGTCCTGGGATCAGTCCTGATTTAGTCCTGTTTTAGTGTTGTTTTAGTCCTGTTTTAGTACTGGGATCAGTCCTGGTTTAGTCCTGTTTTAGTCCTGGGATCAGTCCTGGTTTAGTCCTGTTTTAGTCCTGGGATCAGTCCTGATTTAGTCCTGTTTTAGTCTTGTTTTAGTCCTGTTTTAGTCCTGAGATCAGTCCTGGTTTAGTCCTGTTTTAGTCCTGGGATCAGTCCTGTTTTAGTCTTGTTTTAGTCCTGTTTTAGTCCTGGTTTAGTCCTGTTTTAGTCCTGTTTTAGTTCTGGGATCAGTTCTGTTTTAGTCCTGTTTTAGTCTTGTTTTAGTCCTGGGATCAGTTCTATTTTAGTCCTGTTTTAGTCCTTGAATCAGACCTGGTTTAGTCCTGGTTTAGTCCTTTTTTAGTCCTGGGATCAGTCCTGGTTTAGTCCTGGTTTAGTCCTGTTTTAGTCCTGGGATCAGTCCTGATTTAGTCCTGTTTTAGTCTTGTTTTAGTCCTGTTTTAGTCGTGAGATCAGTCCTGGTTTAGTCCTGTTTTAGTCCTGGGATCAGTCCTGTTTTAGTCTTGTTTTAGTCCTGTTTTAGTCCTGGGATCAGTCCTGGTTTAGTCCTGTTTTAGTCCTGGGATCAGTTCTATTTTAGTCCTGTTTTAGTCCTTGAATCAGACCTGGTTTAGTCCTGGTTTAGTCCTGTTTTAGTCTTGTTTTAGTTCTGGGATAAGTCCTGTTTTAGTCTTGTTTATATTTATTTTAAGCTCAACTAGAGCCAAATATGCACGGATTTCTGTCCTGCACACACGCATATCTCTGAAAGCTTTCTTACTCCATAGAAAACACTCTGTTCCACCTTGTGATGTCATGTTGTAATACAAGTGCTCCAGTGTTTGTTTTAAACTCCATACATCTTCATCACTAGAATCAGTTGGATGATTTCATCCCTGGAGTTGCCAATCTCTACTGAACGAAAGGTAAAAGGTAGCTGTTAACTTGAAATTTACCACTTCATGACATCACAAGTTGGAACAGAGCATTTTGAGCTTTAGAGATGTAGACAGACTAATAATATAAAAAAAAGTATAAATAAAACGTGTGTGAATGAAATAACGCACAGCTCCTGATATGTTTTTGATGAGGTAACGGGCTTCTAAAAGCTCCCAAGAGTCAGTTTTGTGTAATATAGGCCCTTTAAATTAAAAATAACTTTTAGTATCCGCCTCTGAATAACCAACAAACAACAATGGGTTCAACAGATATTTATTCATCATCAAATAAAACAAAACTTGAAGCACAAATAGCAGGTAGCCCACATAAATAAAACATTCACACTTCAAAAATAGAGCAGTCCCTTCTTAGAGCATCTCCGGTCTATTTGCTTGAATTGTACAATAAAAACAAAAATAAAACAGCTTGATAATTGTCCAGTGACGCTATTATAGAACAGGTTAGTCAGCACATCAGGCTAACAAGCTGATGCTGTTGAAATGCCTACACCGGTGCAAATAGGTAGCCTAGGTCTTTACAATATGGTTAAGAGTTAAGCCCAAATAGATTCATACCCTGGAAGTAGATGAACAAAATAAATACTAAAGAAAACAGATTTTAATACTGTGTGGTTATGTCAACAATGAGATGTTAAGAAAAGAACTGGTCAAAATTTTAGTAGAATTTCTGAGAAGATTTTCGATCATTTTATCATTTTTCGATACTCCAGGAATGCCCGAATTTGAACAATTTGGGGCTTAACTTTAAATGACAAATAAAAGGTACAAAACCATTACAACCATTTACACCTGAATAAATAAAAGGCAAAAAATGACACTTTATTTCTTGCTTAAAAACAGTAGAACAAAATGAGAGCATGACTGTGTAAAATTGTCGCTTTCAGTGAGTAAACAGTAACAGTTTTCAGATTTCTTGGTAGGATGACTTTGGGGCTGTGTAGTCCTCACTGCTCCTGAAAAAACAGAGAGAAAGACTTTTATTTTGGAAGGAAAGAGGAAATACATGCGACTAGGTTCAACACGTTTGCTTGGTAACTCAACCAGTGCCTGTAAATAATGAATGAGTATAACCAAAGGAACTAAAGGTCTGAAGGACAGAAAGAAACTAGTCTCCATGTTAAAATGTCTTACAAAAAATTGTTTTTCTTGCTTATATTTTAATTGTAAGACGTAATGATTAAGCCTGTTACAATAATTACGATGTCGTTCAGTATAAAACCTGGAACAAAATATTTTGGAGTGCAATATTTATTACATTATAACATTTTCTTTGTAAAACTGAGGAGATTTGGGTTATTTTTGTTGTTACATCTGAGCTGTAAAAGGTTAAATAAGTGATTTCTATGGCTAATTATTGACCGATAAGAGCACATTATGTTATTTATGGTTGTGTTGGCTTTTAATGATACAATAAAACAAGCAAGACAATTTTTAAGATAATATTGAAACTACTGCATGCCACTGATACTATCCTTTATTGCAGTATATCTCTGTACCAAAATATTGTGCTATAAAAACTGTTATCATGACAGGCCTAGTCATCTCAATATTAACATGCTACCTGGTCATTATTGTAAATATGGAATTCACTTGTAGTTTAGTCCTGGAATAGTCCGCTCTGAGACCTGGTTCAGTCCTGGTTCATGCAATGTTAAAATTAGATTTTAAGTTGAAACATAAGAAAAAAAAAAGAAATATTAATAGTCAAGATTAGTTTACATTGAAAACTGTAAGAAGTAGTTGAAGTAGTAGTAGTAGTAATAATAGTAGTAGTAGTTGTAGAAGTAGTATAATACTGAAACCAAACCATAAAACATAATGACCCCCCAAAAAGTATTCTTAATGTACAATATTGTTAAAAAAAACACACAAAAAAACACACACACACACATAAATTGCACTCAAAGTCTCTGCTGCACTGGCTTCCTGTGAGCGTCAGGATAGATTTTAAAGTTCTTTTATTGCTTTATAAAGCTCTTAATGGCTTTAGTCCTATTTATTTATCTGATCTTCTTTTATCATATGAGCCTCTGGAACTCTCAGGTCCTCAGGTCTCGTCTTTTAACAGTCCAAACTAAAACTCACAGTGAGGCATCATTCGATTTTACAGCCCTCATGTGTGGTATTTTTAAAAGAAAACTCAAAAAGTATCTTTTCAGTTGAGCTTTTACTTGAAACTTTTACTTGTTTTACATTGTAATTTTTCTGTTGCATGTGAAGAGCTTTGTGCTATGTTAAAATCTATGAAAAGCGCTAGACAAATAAAGTTTGACTGATTGAAATCTTATCCTGGAACAACTGTGTGAGAAAGGAGAAAGTACCCACGATAAATATTGACCCCCAAAAACATGATAGATTATTCTGTCTGTTTTGTATTGAACGATCAGTCAATATAGTAATTATCGTGACCGACCCGTCTATAGGCCTACTTACATCTGTGGTTTGCAGTGGTTTAATAAAGCTCCATTTGTATTTGCTCAGTGAAAACAGAGGAGTGTGTCTTTATTTGTCTTAAGCAGCTCAAAACAACTAACAAAGACAATATTTGACTTTCTAAGTACTGTCACCAGATCTAAACCAGGTCTTTAACAGGACTACATGAGGTCCACAGCACAAAACCAGGTCTAACGCTGAAATTTGAAGGGTCCATATTACGCTATTTTCTGATCTATGATATAAAGTTGTTTCCTTGTCAAAAACATACCCTGTGTTGCATTTTGTTCCCATACACCTTCACTAGAATCATTTGGATAATTTCAGTCCTGGAATTGCCATTTCTACTGGACAAATGGTGAAAAGGAGCTGTTAACTTGGTAACTACCGCTTCATGACATCACAAGGTGGTGCAGAGCATTTTGAGAATGGAAATGTAGACAGACTAACAATAAAGAATTCTTCAAACATGTGTGAATGAAATAAAATGCAACTTCGGGTATGTTTTTGATGACATTGGTTAAAGTGTTGGATAAAAGCATAATATGGGACTTTTAATAAATAATTATATTACACATGACTTATTAGAACATGAAATGTGCATGAAATCATGCACATTTTTGGATGTGAACATGCAAGCTGTCCATGTTTTAAATGTGCCATCTAAGTAGTACATTTAAACAAAAGCTACTTCAAAGGGAGAAAAAAACATATTAAGTCTAAATGAAAGCCGCAAGCAGCGATAAAGGACCCCCAGAGACTACACAGAAACTGATCTGCTTTTATGGGAGCGGTCCATGACAATCACGTCAAGAATGTAATAATACTTGAGTAGTTGTATTAGAGCTCATTGAATGCAGTTTACACAATAGCAGTGAACCAATAAAGATATAAAGATCAAAACAATGAATGGAATCAGCATTTAAGCTAAGTGCTATATAACAGAAGTGCAAGACGTTAGGGTGTGTTCACATTTCACATAGTACACATCAAAACTGCCACTTTGCAGAGACATCACACTGGGGGTGTTCTACGTGTATCTCTAGTAGTGAAATGTTTAGGAGTTACTGCGGTGGCACAATGCACTCATAGCAAACACTGTTTTATGGTAGTCTGAAAACTCAAGAAAAGACACAAAAGTAGTTACAGTAGTAGTTACAGTAGTAGTATGTAGTGTGTGCCTATAGAGACCACCAGAGGTGGAACCAAGTCGTTGTGTTGGAAGTCTAAAGTAAGTCTCAAGTCTTTGACCTCAAGTCCAAGTCAAGTCCCAAGTCAAAGACAGGAAAGTCCAAGTCGAGTCTCAAGTCACTGGCTCGTAAGTCCACGTCAAGTCCAAGTCGTCTGCTTTGAGCTTCAAGTAATTTCAAGTCTTTAAACCAAAGTACCAAATACAGCTTAGATGTATAATATGCAATTTATATGAATTTTAAACTAAATTGTACTTAAAAAAAAGTATTTACATAAGAGTTGTAGAAATGCCATTTTTTCCATTTTAAATATCTTCACAAGATCTTAGTGTGAATCATTACGATCAGAATAGAAAGAATTCAAATTTTTAAAAGTGCTAATTAACAGTTACTTTGTCATGAAGGATCATGTTCTCTGTAGTTTCCTCTGTATCGTACTGTACGGTACTGTATATTACTGTAGTACATTTGATGATACCACATCACAGTACTTCAGTTACACTGAAAGTAACAAACAGAAGTGGGACGGACATGTTTTAGTTTGTTCTTGTAAAATTAAGAATCACATTTATCAACTGTAAAGAGAAAAGTATTTTCTAAAAACATATTTTTTAGGAGAAGCATCAAGTCTTCTCAAGTCACAGGCTCAAGTCCAAGTCAAGTCCCAAGTCACTGACCTTCAAGTTCAAGTCGAGTCCCAAGTCTTAGTCCATTTTTCAAGCCAAATTTCAAGTTCTAAAAATAGTGACTCAAGTCTGACTCGAGTCCAAGTCACGACCTGCAAGTCCCCACCTTAGGAGACCACTGCAGTGAGTCAGCCCTGAGTAAGCCCATTGTATGAACTCCAGTTTACGACAGACTGATGCAGACTCAACAAGACAAGTCCAGACCCAAATCAGCTGACAACAACCTGCAGCTAAATATCTCACAGTTACACAGCACAGCAGTCACCTTTTCTCACAGGGAAATAGCTCCTGACTTGGTGCAACTGTGTAACTTTTCTGGTAGAGGGTCCACCACCTGCTTGTCTCCATGGGGATGTGATTGTTTTCTTATCTAGAGTGTTCCACAGTACAGTGTTCAACTTGTCTATTTTACATGATTCAATTGTGGGTGTTTTTATTGTTTACTATGAATACACTGAGACGTCTCTCCACAAACATGACCTATATCTTGGCCTAGTTTCAGTTTACTGTGGAACTTCCCAGACAAAGGCAAAGGAAAAAATCAATTTGTCTGTCTTAAAGTGTTTGTAGGTTTGAAATGAAATGAATAATTATGTTAATATGACCCCACACTCAGTGTAGTTTAATAGGCCAAGCTACCAAACAGAAACTGTAAACAAGTAGGTGTGTTAGTTTCAGAACAGTTTCAGTGTAGTTAGCTCCTCCCTTCAGGTAAATATATAAGGAAGTGTCCATCAGTATTTGACCAGAACTGAGGAAGCAGCTTGGATGATCTGCAAAATGTATTTGACCAAAATAAACTTTTGTCCAGTTAAAAAATGTAATTTCTCCTTTTTCTACCTGTCCTGGATGACTGAGGGATTCTACACATTCCAAACAAAGCAATACCAGCTTCAAGAAGGCAAACAGTTGGCGACCCTCCATATGAAAAGTTACACAATGCACCTTTAAGGCCATTGCAATTGAATTATAATTGAGATCCATCTGTAATGGTCAGAGATCAAGTTGAGTCTTTTTAATCTAGAGTTTTACAGCCAATCCTCTGTTGTAATTTGTTATTGTGACAGCCAGGCCTAGCACGTGTTTAGGCCTGGCTGTCAAAATAACAAATTATGATAATAACAAATTTTGAAGTATCATATATTGTTGAAGAAAACAGACCATAAATGATAAAGCTGAAACTAAATCATGCCTCTGACACAATAACCCTACAGCAACATTATCCTCCAAAAATGCTAAATGTATAATATAGTTAATACTGATCATAGTGCAGAAAAATATCCAGAAGTTCCTCACTAGAATAAAGAAAAAGTCTCCATGATAAATATTGACCCTCAAAATGTCTAATCTAATCTAATCTAATATATATTGAACTAAAAGTCGATTTAGTGATTATCGTGACATGCGTTTTGTATGTTCAGACTTTGAAAAAAATTTATTTGACTCATTTTTGTGTTACATTGTAATGATTAAAACTCTGTAAATTTTGTGAAATAAAAAATAAACGTCAGACATCAAGTATATACATCAATCAATATGAGAAAAATAAATTCCTATCAGCCCTATAAGCAATATGGAAAAGTAATGTCAATGTAGATAAATAAGGAACATAATCTAGTGGAAAACATACATAAGTGGAGAGCTACCACACTTTAGCAGATTTAGACTGATGACTGCATTAAAGACCACCAACATGAAGTCCATCTGTGAAAGACTCGAGTGCCCAAGAAAATTACTGAAATGAAAAATTATGCCACACCATATTTGTGTAATTCCTCAGTTGTTTAGCTATGTTCTATAGTGATCTATGGGCTTATACAGTCTTGTTCTGATACAGCTCAAGATCATTCTAAAGTGGAAATGGTTCATTTCTGTTCCGTCAAAGTGATTTTTTTAGTATCAATACATGCCCAAATGAGTATCTAGTTTTGATATTAGTTTTAGTACTGAATAGGATCTGAATTTCTACTCAACTCCAGTGAATCAGGCAAAATATTTACTTCATTCCAAGTTAAATGAAACTGAAAATTAGTTCTAAAAAGTGTTTATAATTATCTCACCTTGTCTCCTCTTCTTTAAGCTTCTGAGCTGCCTGCTTTGACTGTTTAATCTGCAAGTCCAGTCTTTGTAAGAAGTCTTTGGCTGACAGCTCCTCTGTTTTCTGCGGTTGCTGGTTCTGGCTTGGTCTGGGGTCCTCGGGAGGTGGGGAGGGGGGCGGGGAAGGCTCTTCTATATCCTGCGTCAGGACAGAGGGCGAGTCCGAGTCCTGCCCGGCAGAGTCGTTATCGGGAGATTCAAGAGAGAGTCCGTTAAAAATGAAGCGTTTCTGAGTGATCACAGGTATGTTCAGAATGCTCTTGAGGAAAATGCAGTCGTTGCTGAAAAGCTTGTTGGCGCGTTTGATTTGCTCCATCTGGTACAGCGAGAGAGGAGAGAGAAAAGCACACAGAAAGACAGGCTTAGTAATAAAACAAGTGCATCAGATTGGATCAAATGTATTTAGGCAACATAACACTATATTTAACTAATTGTGATTTAAAAAATATTAAAAAGTGAGTGTTCTGGCCTTACTTTTATGATATTATTGAAAGACCATTCCTTTAGCCAGTGTCTAAATGCAAGTTGACTGGAGCAGAACGCACAGAGAATGCTGCTAAATAATATAACTACATGTCGAAGATGTATGAGAAACTAGCAGAGCATCTTTAAAGGTGTACTATGCAACTTTTCTGTGGAGGGTCTGCCACTTGCTTGTGTCCATACTGATTCTGATACTACAGCTTTAATTATCTACTAAATATTCGATGTCAACCGATGCCAATGCAGAGATGGAAAACAGGATATATTTCCTCAAAACAAAAATAAAATAATAGAAAATTGATCTAAATTTGTTATTTATCCCTCCAGTAACCACAAAACAACTTATTGTTATTGTATTATTATTGTTTTAAATACAAAAATCAAACACTATGAGACTTTATGGGCCAACTACAGCTAGAAAAATACTAGTAAATTGATCTAATAAAAGCAGTGGTGTGAACAAGTCGTTGTTTTGCAGGTCTCAAGTAAGTCTCAAGTCTTTGACCTCAAGTCCAAGTTAAGTCCCAGGTCAAATACATGCAAGTCCAAGTCATGTCTCGAGTCACGGGCCCATGATTCCAAGTCAAGTCCAAGTGTACTTAAAAAAATCATGGTATATTTGAGTTGTAGAAATGACAATTTTTCCTTTTTAAATGTCTTGCCAAGATCAAAGTGAGAATCATTATGGTCAGAACAAACAGAATTCAGATTTAAAAGTGCTAAATAACAGTTATTTTGTCTGAAATGGAAGGATCATGTTCTTTGTAGTTCTATACTTTACTGAATATTACTGTAGTACATGTGAGGATACCATCTCGCAGTACTTCAGTTACATCCAGAGTAACGAACAGAGACGTGGGACAGACATTTCCACTTTGTTCTTGTAAAATTAAGCACCGTATTTATCAACTGTAAAGAGAAAAGTATTTTCTAAAAACATCTTTATTTTTAGGAGAAGCATAAAGTTTTCTCAAGTCACAGTGCTCAAGTCCAAGTCGAGTCCCAAGTCTTAGTCCATTTTATCAAGTCAAGTCTCAAGTTCTAAAAATAGTGACTTAAGTCTGACTCGAGTCCAAGTCATAATATGCTGAATAAGTGTATATGTCCAACCAGAATATTGGCTGAATCGATATTTGGAAGCTGATATCCAATTTAGCAATTTTTTTCAGTATCTGTGCCGATATCCGGAACCAGTATTGGATCGGTGCAACCCTAATACTGTAGTAATGTTTACAGTATAACTCTGTCTCCGTGGGGACTATGAGGTGGCACCACTAGTCCAAATTACAGGTCAAATCTGTGGAGACGCATCCCTATTCATAGTGATAATGTATGTTTGTTTTGCTATTCAATAAAAAACACCTGGATTTGAAGATGGATAAAGCCATACTGTGTAACATTACAAGCAATAACATTTCCATAGGGACAAGGCCGTCGACCCTCTACTAAAAAAGTACACAGTGAACCCTTTAAGCCTACTCTCTGAGGTTCAGGAAGCGGTACAGTCTTCAGTCTGTACTTGTGCTTCCTGGTTCTAGTCAGGATGCATTCGTGTTTTAAGATCCCGAGGGGGTAACTAGAGAACCCTAACCCGAGGGAAAACCATATAGACACAGGGAGAACAAGTAAAGTCCACATAGAAGGCCAGAAAGACGTCCAGGGTTCTAGCATCCTGTGACTCAAGGATGACTTCTCATGGTGGAGGATGTGAAAGTTTTTATACTGGCAACAGGACTTTCCTTAATGTGGACAGTATCAATACAAAACTCCAACAACTGATTTGCTTCTGGTAAAACGAAACCCATGCTTTCCCTTGGAGGCAAGTTCAATTAAGGCAAAACTGAGATGCCATGTAACCTTATTTGTACGTTTGATTTCTGTGACAGTCATCAGAATAGACAAGTGCAGCAATAAATAACTTAAAAATATGACCTTGATTAATAATTGTCGCTGATAAACCGTATCTTACCGTAACCCCGTATTTGAGAGCTATCCCTTGCAGCGTGTCACTATCCGTAACCCGATGCTCGATGTACTTCTCCCCCAGAGAGGCCGACACGCTGGCGGTGCTGCCGTAGGAGCGGATCTTGGTCCGGGCAAGGCTCTGGGACAGCTCGCTCTCTGACTCGGAACCGGACCTGGAGCGAGGGAAAATGGGCTGCCCGAACCGACCTCCTCCCCCCGCTCCCCCATCCCGCATCGGCAGCACGGGCGAGAACTCCGCCATCTTCGCCTGGATGCACCAAACTCAGCGCCGCCCGGGGGTTGTTCCGCTGTAGAGCCGGCGGAGGGGTGAGGGGGTCCGGTTTAAGCCGCAGGCAGCGCCCCGTCCTGCAGAACAACAGGGGACAGCGACATGTTTCGGGACCTCCGCCTCACGGTGACGGGAGCTACGTTTGCCGTGTATCCGCTACATTTGCGTCATCACGCACTGACGCACTGACGTACAGTAGGGGGAAAAGGCACTTCCGGCAACATCCTTTTCAAAATCATAACACGATTTGTAAAGTTAGTCCGAAATCGAATATATTTTTACATATGAACATGCAGACTGAAAACAAGATATATTTTCTTAAAACAAAAATGAAATAATACAAAACTGAACCAAATTTGTTATTTATATCTCTAGGAAAACGTATTGCTATTGTATTATTATTGTTTTAAATACAAAAAATCAAACACTATAAGATTTTCAAGGCCAATTACAACCAGAAAAATACATAATTACATACATTTACTAGTATATGTCCCGGGATATTGGCTGAATCGGTATTTAGAAGCCGATGTCCGATTTATCTTCTTTTTTTTTTTTTTTTTTTTTTTTTTTCCCCCAGTGTCTGCGTCGATCAAAGCACTATAATAAAATCCATGGCGCCGATATCCAATACCAGTATTAGATCGGTGCCTCCCTAATACTTCAGTAATGTTTCCTTTGAATATTCTACTGTATAACTCTGCCTGCATGGAGACTAAGAGGTGACATCAATAATCCAAGTTACAGGTCAAATCTGTGGAGAGGTGTCCCTGTTCACGGTGAAAACATTCCAAAAATCGAATATATTTTTACATATGAACAAATGCAAATGTTATCGATATAATGTAGAGCAGCAGTGACCTGTGTACTGCTGCTCAATAGAAACTGCCTAACCTAAATACTATTCATCCTTTATTTATACATTTATTTATACTAGGCCTCTTGTACAACGTCTGATGGGCTCTTGCTTGGCCCACAGACTGTATATGGTTGAGACTTTTCAAAATATAGGCCTAATGTCAAAATATAGGCCTAGTGAGAGATACAGGACTACATTCATATCATACTGCATACAACTGTACAACAACTCACCTTTATGTAACAGATAATACTCCCTACAACTGTACAACAATTCACCCTAATGTAACGGATAACCCTATGTCCTGTCAATCATCATATTGTTGCACTGTCTTCCTATGACCTCTTATATAAAGCTGTGATTTTATGATTTTATATTTTATTAGTTATCTTTTCTATTTTATTTTGAGTTGTACATTTACATTTATATAATTATGTCGTATTTTACACCTGTCTCTTGCTCTTTTTTGCTCCTTATTAAGAATTTATTATTACCATTTATTTTTTACTCTGTTATTAAATTATATTGTGATGTGTGAGCTGTGAGTGGATCAATAAAGTTTGCCTAAGTCTAAGTCTAAAAATAAAGTCAAAACATTAAAGATGTATTTACAGCAAGTTATATAAAAAAAGAATGACCACACACTGAAAAGGCAGGTGTTATTGCATGTAGGAGCATTGTAGACTTAACCACTAAACAAATATTTAGCAATTTTACAATTAGCACTAAGAATCGACTTCTGACAGGCTTGTGTGAGCAGCCTTTACTTGTGACCAGCAGAAGCCCTGTGACCAGACACAGATGGAAAAAATACATGTTTGGTGAGCATGTGAATTTTAATCATGACTTTGTAGCTTTTTCCTATTTTTTTTGTTCATTTTCCAAACCTGTCACACATTTTAAGTCCCATTTGACGTCCTTGTTTAGGGAAGTAAGTCAAAGTCTAAATTGGAAAGACATAAGGTGACTATAAAATGTGTATGAATCACCGATAATTATCCATTTACTGTGTTGACACTTACAAGCTTTTATTAACTTAATTAAGCCAGTTTACTAGTTTACACATGAAATTATAAGATGCAGTTTAATACATTATTATGAGTTTCCATATTTGCATTTTGGGCCCTTCCACAAAACACGTTCATATTGTCTATATATAAAAATGATAGTAAGAAATATCACTGCTGGCTATCCATAAATTATGTCATATTTTCCAAAGAAACAACCCTTGTGTGCATAACCACTATAGTGACAACAAACAGCAGGTGTGTCTTTATGCAGCTCGGGTTTCAGTGGACAGGACTAATCAGGTTTGAATGGTCCATTTATTCAGCTGTCGCCCGGTAACCCACAGACTGTATTGGTAAACTCATTATAATTGTTAATGTAATTTCAAATCTTAAGTCTATGATTTGATTTATGCAGAGACTAGAGGATGGACGACCGGACAGAGGGGCCCGGAGGTGGGCACAGGATCGGTCAATTAATAATTCATTAAACTCCCACTGCGAGATGACACTGAAGACCTACATGGACACCTGTACAGTTAGCCTATGCATTATTAATATGAATCAGTGAAGAAAAAAAAGTGTAAAACTGCCAAAAAAATGATCCTCTATTCAATGTGCATGTGTTTTGGTTTTACAAATGTAGTAGTGTGTTGTTTTAAGTGGTCTATACTATATTTTTATTATATCTTTATGCAAAATGTTTTGTATTGGTCTAATATGAATGGGGCATTAAAGATGTGTCCACGGAGATAACAAACGGTGAGATTGCTTTCGCTGGAATGCACCACTGTATGGTATTAAACTTGCTTATTTAATTACATTGTTTCGTTATTATGTATTTATTTACATATATTTTTACAATAAAATGCATTGTTGGCCCAAATCTCCACAGATCGGACCTGTAGCCTGGTGCTTGTCTCCATGGAAATAAATAAGTTAAATATCATACTGTGAAAAACTCCAGGCAAAGCAACAACATCTCTTTGGTGATTTAACCCTCCACCTAAAAAGGCAAAGGAGAAATTAAAAATGTTCAACTGGACAAATAAAAGTTTGTCCAGATTCTACCTGGACGACCGAGGGTTTTTTACAAACATCTCAACCTGGAAAGTTACACAGTGCACCTTTAGGACACAACCTTTACAGCCACCTTCTATTCACTTTATTTTTTTATTATACATGGCGTTATTGTATTATGTAAGGTTAACTAGCCTATATTTTAATGTCCCATAAATGTGATGACTGTCGTGTAAATGACTATTATTTTTGCTGTTTTATGAACACAAAATGGATTCCTGAGCCATGTTACAATGTTGTTACCTCCTTAAAAATAGACTTGGAGTTGTATTTTGCTTTATTCACACATGTATGAGTAATCCTTTATTATTAGTCTGTCTATATCTCTAAAGCTCAACATGCTCTGTTCCAGTTTGTGATGCCATGAACTGGTGGTTTTCAAGTTAACAGCTATTGTTTCAGAGATTGGCAATACAAATGATTCTAGTGAAGCTGTATGGAATTTAAAAACACAGTGGAGCACTTCCTGGATTACTATGTGAAGTCACAAGGTGGAACAGAGTGTTTTCTGTTTGAAAGAAGAACTCCATGTGTGTTTTTGATGAGGAAACAACATTATTAGAGAGATCAGAAAATAGTGTAATATAGACAGAAGAAAAGCATTTTAATCACTGGAAAAACAGTTACCTTTAGTAAATAGTGAATTATTTTCTATTATAATTTCTTGTTTCCTTTATGTTATAGTTGTAGCCTAATAGTTTGTTCTGAGCCTGTTGTCTGTGGTCCCAACCCTTTTTGACCAATGACAATCAATTACCCTGAGAAGAAAACAGTAAAGTCATCCAGCACCACAATCTTACTGCATCTTTATTTGTCAGTGAATTTATGTCGTTCTTTTACACCAAGTATCTATTGTGGCAACGGGACAACCGCTAACAGCTGCGAGCTCATGATTAGAGGATGAGTTTGTGATTTAGGCTCATTTGTAAGTAATAGTTTTATCAATTTCATTAAAAGCTTAGAATAGTATGAAAGTGGAGTGTGTGTGAGTGATGGTGGTGGTCAGAGGGGCCGATGGAGCAGATTGGCAAACTTGCTACTGTCAGTCTGTACCAAGGCAGCTGTGGCTACAGTAGTGTCTTACCACCATCATTGAGTGTAGAGTGAATGAATAATGCTCTGTAAAGCGTCTTTGAGTGTCCAGAAAAGCGCTATGTAAAACTGATGCATTATTATTATTATTATTATTAAACATCAATGTCTTTTTTACGTGAGCATGTGTTTCCCACAGTATGACGATAAAAACTGAACCAAAACTTGAATAAATAACTTCTATACGCCCACTAAATACTTTTAATTTTAATTTGACAGTATGTTGGTCATTATGGTGATTGCAATGTTAGACACTTACAGATGAGCTTAGTGATGATTTCAAGAGTGAACTGTGTGGCGTGACTCTTCCGACCCCTCGTGCAAAACTGGAGTATTACATCACCGTAAATCAGCATGAACATTTTTAACCAGTAGATGGCGATATCTTCACGCGTTTTTGGAGGCCATACTCCCTACAACATAACGCATACATGTAAAAATCCACTAGAACATTTCTGTCTGTGACCTGCTTCTGCCCATCACGATGTTTGTTTTTCTTTGCCTGGAATGTCCCACAGTATGGCTTTAAACATATTTATTATCCTACATTTATTTTTATTTTTATTTTTCTTGCTTAGAATTTGTTGAAAGAAAGATGCATTCCTACTTTTAGCAGGTTCACTTTTCCACCAATTTGACTGGGAAGTAAAATGACCTGGTAGCGCCACATGATAGTCTCCATGGAGATTGCTAAGCATAATGCCCCATTGTGGAACATTCTAGGAAAAGCAACCACATTTCAGTACAGATAAACATGTGGCAGACCCTCCACCAGAACTACAGGTGTGTAAATATATCAAAATATCCATATATCATATCGATTAATGTGATGATACAGTATTGATATTGGTGACTGCTGTATCGATATATCGCCAAGAGTATATTTTAATATATTTTACTAAACTATTTTGATACTGCACTACAGTTTTGTTGCTTGTTTAGAGGAAGGAAACTCCTTTATGCAGCACATTTGACATTTTCACTGTATTGATGATTAAAATGGGTGTTTTTAACTTTGCACAAGAAGTGGTTTAACAAAGACTTTTAGTATTACAGCCTTGATTTATCCATTATTTTTTATTGAACCGTATTTGAATCGATCTGAAATATATCGTGTCGAACC